GGTTATCAACGGAGCTAGTCTGATACAATACTCACTTCGGCCAATCACATCCCAGGATCCTAGAGCGTGAATTTAAGGGCGTGAAAGGTCTTTTCTTTCAAGTATCCGCACAGATGCCTAGGGGATAGGACGTGATTGGGTGATTCAAGCCTTGCTTCCCGCAGCGAAGACACATGGTAGAATTACTGGAGGTTGAATGACCTGAACTGGCCGCTCTCATGCATGCGCTTTCTTCTCCTCCGACTCAAGCTCATCTTGCCGAACTCGCGGGATGATACCCGTGATGATAGATGGAGCGGGGGAGGGGAGGTGAGGGGAGGTGATCGGGGTTATATGTGGGTAGGAGGGGGAGAGAATCTTGTGCTTAAATTAAAACCACTGGGCCTCTTCCATGGATTGGGGTTGTCGAGCAGCGCACACTCCCACAATGGACTCACACCCTCCAATCCCTTGGGAACCTCCGAGCAGTAGTAATGGACGGATGTTCACGCCTCTAGATATTCAAATGTTCACTCTGGGAGCGTTCCTATTTGCTATTTCACTAGTGGTATACTTCCTTCTCTACTCCGGAAATCCCTACGCAGTTTTCTTTTATAATTGCTTCTTGAAGCCCTTCTCCGGAAGCTCGGCGGAGATAAACGGCGGTCAGCAAGATGCCCTAGAGAGCTTTTACAAAGGGCAGGCGGACATCTATGACGCGACGCGGGGGAAGTTACTTAGAGGGAGGGAGGAGATGTTGGCCCTCGCTGCGGCCCAGTTGAAGTACAGGGCAAAGAAGGAGGGAAGAAAGGCGGTTTGGGTGGATATTGGCGGTGGCACTGGGTTTGTTTCTTGTTCCGCCGGGGGAGGTCGAGGAGGATAGCAGGTTAATTGGGGTTAGGTATAATGTCGAGACGTTAAACAAATATCTTTCAGTTCAGGGGTTCTTTTCGAAGGTTTACCTGGTAGACCTTAGCCCGAGCTTGTGCGATGTCGCAAGGGAGAGGTTTGGCAAACTTGGGTGGGGGAATGTGGAAGTCGTGTGTATGGATGCTCGGGTATTCAGATTGGAACAGAAGGCCGATTGGATCACTATGAGTTATTCACTGTCTATGATTCCCGAGTATATCCCCCTCCATCCCCGCGCACTGCTCTCAGCGTCCGGAGTTCTGATCTGCGAAGCTTCTATTCCGTGATCGATTCTCTCCTGAACCTATTGTCGCCCGAAGGTATAATCAGCGTTGCGGACTTCTACGTGCAGTCCTCAACAAACTTTGCCGGTAGGACATACACCGGTGGAGTACTCAGCCGCCATGTAAACTGGTTTTCGCGACAATTCTGGAGAGTGTGGTTTGAGTTTGATCGTGTCAATCTTGACGAAGGGAGACGGGACTACTTGGAGTATAAATTCGGGACTGTATTAAGCGTGAATGAGCGGTGAGTGCTAAGTTAGTCCCAGTGTCATACCCGATAGGCCGCTCAGTACATTTTAGGAACCGCATACTGGGCGGGATCCCCTACTATATCTGGATCGGCTGTCAGAAATTGCACACAGTAACCAATGTCCAAGCACTCGTTGACGCAGCTGATGCTGAATCTCCATACCTTTCCCCAATCCACCACATGTCGAAAGTCCAGGTGAACGCCCAACTTTCGGATACCATGTTTAAACTCAGTTCCAAAGGATTCGAAGCCGCGGTCCTAAATCTTGCGACAAACCTTCCACTCCCGAGCGCCTTCTACCAAAATCGCCACTGGAGAATCTACTATGACGAGCTCTTACAGAAGCACACGCAATTCAACAATTCTTACATCTACGCTTTCACCTGGGAAGACCCACGAGTGGATCAACGAGTACTAAAGATCGGTTCGGATGATGTTGTGCTGGCTATCACTTCCGCAGGGGATAACATCCTGCACTACCTCATCGAGGCAAGCCCTAAGAGAATCCACGCTGTAGATTTAAACCCTACACAAAACCACCTCCTAGAACTCAAACTAGCCGCATTCTCGGCCCTACCCTATGAAGACATTTGGAAAATTTTTGGCCTGGGCCGACACGAGAATTTTGGAGGGTTGCTGGTGAATAAGTTGAGTCCTTACTTGTCCTCCCGTGCTTTCCAATACTGGTTCGACCACCGACAAGTATTCACCTCGTGGCTCGGTGGGGGGCTATACGAGACGGGGCAATCCCGGCTCGCAATCATCGCTGCAAAATGGCTTTTCCGTATCTTCGGCGTGTCAAAATACGTCGAACGTATGTGTGCCGCCAGAACACTAAACGAGCAACGCGAAACCTGGCGATCCAAACTCCGCCCCGTGATACTCTCCTCGTGGGTTAGCTGGGCTATAATCGACCGCGATCGGTTCCTCTGGAGAGCTCTCGGCGTGCCGGCGAATCAGCGGGATATGATAATCCACGACTACCTACAACCCGCCCGGGGGGCAGATAAAGATAGTGGGAGAGCAATGTGGGAATACGTAGTCAACACCCTAGACCCTGTGGCCGAGAATAGCCTCCTCAGTGAGGATAATTACTTCTACCAGCTCTGCCTCCGGGGTCGATACACGGAGAAGTCCCGCCCGGCGTACTTGTGTCCGAAGTCCCATGCAAAGTTGTCCCGTCCCGGGGCACTGGACAATGTTCGCATCCACACCGACGAGATCAACCATGTCCTCCCGAGGATTCAACCAGGCACGCTCTCTATCGCAGTGATAATGGACTCGATGGACTGGTTCGAAACGGACGGCGCGGAAGCCAGGAAGCAAATCAAGTCGCTGAACGCCGCGATGAAGGTTGGCGGGAGAGCACTCATCCGTAGCGCTGGCCGGAGTCCCTGGTATATGAGTGTATTTGAAGAGGAGGGGTTTAAAGCCACGAGGGTTGGGGATAGAAGTCCCGGGGCATGCATTGATCGGGTTAACATGTATGCTTCAACGTGGGTGTGCACAAAGGTCGAGGAGAGGGATGGGATGAGAAGTTCCGGGAGCGAGGTTGAAGAATTGCAGATTTGAGTTGGTGTTGGCCCCGCGCGACCGAGTTGAGGCTGGGCGCCTAAGATGGCAATTCTCATAGAAAGCGCTCAACTTCAACCCTGCCGCACTAGTAAGTTAGATAGAGTTTGTTTCGTTTTCGGTCCGGTAGAAGTGCGCTTTAGGTGTATCGCACATTTATGTTATTTTTGGCTTGGCCGATTTTAGCTTCTGGTGTTGGGATGTGGGGGTTGTGTGGAGAGTTTTAAAAGTGCCGCGACGGGATGAGTGGAAGTTGGTCACTGTGGTGCTTGTGCCCGTATTGGTGTACTGTACCGGTGCAGTAAAGTACGAGTACTATTCCAAATTGCTCCGTCTGGGGCCGCTATGCCAGTGACAACCCCACTACTACTAGAAATCTCTCATCCCCTCAACCAGAACTGGTCAGGGAGTTTGGAAACTTTGGGTAGGTATTAAATAAATGTACAGGAATATTCATATAAAATTATGGAACAAAAAATATAATACTTTGTATATCATTTCCTTGCATTCAGAACAGCAGCTACACTCTTAGATACAGACTCCTATAGCTTTTCTAAAGAAAAAGAAAAAATACCTTTGGTATCCTGGGTTTGAATATGATTGAGAGCTTCTACTAGGTGCTTTTTAGCAGTATCCAAACCCTCCTTGGTCTTATAAATAACAGGAAACCACTGATGTAGCTTCTTCTTTACCCTCTTCCAAGAATACTTAATAGAATTAAGATCAGATGAATTGGGATCTATTTCATAACCTCTGTATTGTTTTTCTCAAACCAGGCCATAGTATTTCCTACAGTATATATATTCTTGTACCACCAGCATTCTGCTAAAGAATAGGATCCTAACTATATTCTCCATCTCCTACCATATATCAATTAAATCATTTTCCAAAGGATAGAAATTAAAGAACTTTGATTTCAACTCCAGATACAGGCCTGCACCAGTAGCTTTATTCCAGATCCCTTTATAACTCTATGGATATGGTCCTTGTACTACTTTTTCTTAGGTATTCTGAAAATGTAAATACTACTCTTAAAATTTTCAAAATTTTCAACCAAGTATTTATTACAGAAAATAATCCCACCAAACCCCACTCTGTCCAATTCCTATACTCTATTATCCAAGCTAACCTCCTTACAGCATACTAGTATTTCAAAAGAACTTTCTTCCTGACCTTGCTTCTAGTATATAATAATAGACTTCAAAGCTCTTCCAACTGGACTTACAAAGGCATTTGGAATAACTTTACTACATAATTCAGATAAAACCTAGTGGTATACCTTCTTAGATTTACTACCTAGGCAGAAGTAGATTCTTGTATTAATAATTTTAATTCTACCTAATATTAGTAGGTTTTTCACATTACCCCTTAGTTAATAACAATTGTAAAAGGTGACAATAGTACTTTTAGCATGCTGTAAGAGCTTTCAAATTTCAGAAATACAGAGTTTTTTTCTTTTCTTTCCTTTCCTAAGAGCAATAGTCTGCCTCTCTCACAATCTGTGGGATGGCTGGACTCATGAAGGAACATTATTGTAAAGGGCTTGTAATTTGCAGGGATGGGATGTTCTCAGGTATTGGTCGGTAACCACCGATCATACGGAACGATTTGTCAAACCGGTAGTACTCGAGTACTGTACTAGTACTTTTAGAGTACCGGTACCTTATAATACGGTACCATAGAACCCACACGCCTCGCAAGGATCGGTGACACGTGGGCCAAAACGGTTTTTAGTGCTGATGCGCTCGAATTCAGTAATCATGGCGCCAGTCCACTCGCATACATCGCTTCTATTCCTGTACAGTACTGTACCATCATCACACAATGTCCACGCACACTCACCTTCTTTTCCTCCCCTACTCCGTAAACCATCCAGTGGACAGCAATGGGCCATTATCGATTCTGCCGGAATGTCATAGCTACAGTGGATCAAAAGTACCCACCACCTCCACCCCACCTCCGTTTACACGCTATATCGGGAATGGCAGTGGAACAAAAGGACCCGGGAAGACCTCACCATCTTAGCGAGTGATACGACGTGATGACCAATACACCGTTTTCGTCCCACCGCCTTTCCTCCTCCTCCCCCACCCCGCTCCTCCCGGGGTTCGGGCTACTGTGCGGCTCCGGCTCACACTTTTCTTTTTTCCCCCCTCCATTCTCGCTTGTAGTAAGTTGGTTGTCTACTTTCCCGGAGGACTGGACCGGTAATTCAGTGTACAGTACAGTACTCGTACAGTACAGCACTGTGCCAAGTTGCTTAAACTACTCGTGGGCGAAAGGAAGCGGGAGGAAAGGAAAAAGGAAAGCTGCATTTACTGGGATAGGTTCAACGTGTTTAGGTACCGGCAGTATGATATCTGTTAGTCACAGCGCTCGAGGTCGGAGGGCTTGCGTGGTCTGGTGGGGCTGGGGCTTTTTGGGTGCGGAAGCGGTATGGTGCTATGGGAGGATACGGGTTCTTTGTGCTGTGCTTTTTGCGGTTGGGGGTGTGGGGTTTTGTTGCCTAGGTTGGCTTGGGCTCGGGATTTGGCGTTTGTATATAAGTATCCGGGATGATCAATTATTGCTCTCCCCCTCCTCCCCTCCCGGATTGACACTTTCATCGAGCCAATCAATTGCTCGGAGGAAGCAAGATTAAGAATTCAAAATGAGGAGTTACTTACCCCCCATTCTCTACCTCCTCCTTGCTTGCGCCGTGGGCATCCAGGCGCAGGACAAGATTGCCGACGCCGTAGCAACGGACGGGAAACTATCCACGCTGCGCTCGATACTGACCAGCAACCCGGCGCTCGCCCAACTCCTTGACGACAAATCCTATGGCCAGCGTACCTTCCTCGCCCCCTCCGACGCCGCCTTCGCCAAGTACGCCGCTGAAACCAACACCACCATTCGCGGGGGCAATTTCTCGAGAACGCAGTTGGAGGCGATACTGTCGTACCACGTCATGAATGGCTCGTTTCCGGCTTCGAACTTGACGTCGCGTGGGGGGGTCGCTGCGGCAACCTTCTTACAGGATTCGCAGTACACGAACCTGGGCGGCGGGGGTGGCGGGAATGTAGTGTATGCTTCGCGGTACGGGAGTTCGGGGGAGGCGAGCGCGGCAGGGAAATTGGAGGTTTTCGGTGGGGTAGGGAACAGTGCTCCGATTGTGACCACGGATATCAAATATGGGAATGGTTATGTGCATGTTGTTGATAAGTGAGTGGGTTTCTTCTTCTCTACTCTCGATTTCGGCAAAGCGACGACCGGGCTAACCTCGGACAAAAAAAAAAAAAAAAAAGTCTACTGTCGCTCCCACAGACATGCACGAGCTCGATGGGGAAGTTGTCCCTAACCTCACTCACCCAAGCATTGAACCGTGCTGTGCTCGCTCAAACGCTCGATACCACGCCCGGCGTGACGTGCTTCGCACCCTCCCAGGAGGCATTCGCCGCGCTGGGAAACCCCGAGGGGAAACTTTCGCCGAAGGAGCTCTCGGATACACTTATGCTTCATACGCTCGGGAAGGCAGAATACTCGCCGGACCTGGAGACTGGGGGAGAGTATCCGACTTTGATGACGGGACAGAGCGTCAAAGTTGTCCGTGAATCGGGATCGCTGTATATTACAGGCGGCGGGGGCGGTAAAGCGAAGGTACTGAGGGGGAATGTGATTGTTAAGAATGGGGTTATGCATGTTATTGATCAGGTTTGTTCCTTTTTTACTTCTGCGGTGGGTTTTCATTGAAGGCGGAGGTGGTTAACCGCGTTTTAGGTACTTACGCCATCGTCTACGAATGGTTCTTCCTCAAGCCCGACCTCCTCTAGCGGCGCTGGGACGGGCGATTCGTCCCCATCGGTTTCGGGATTTTCCAAGAATTCGAGTAGTGGGAATCATATCGTCCCGTCAACGGCTTTGCTCTTTACTGCAATTACTATAATCTTTTCGAGGGTCATCTTAGCTTAGTTTGATATACCTCTGTTTACCTGGTTTTTTGTAACGAGTGATGGAAGAATTTTGTTGATGGTTGGGTGGGAGGTTCATAATCTAATTGGTGGGAAATAAAGGAAGCTCGGGGGGAATATGATACTCGAGCAAACAAAGCCGGACGAGTTGATGGATACGGTACGGTAAACGGGGATCGGTGGTGGACGTGACAATCAGATATGCCTTGGAAGATGGTGAAGGATGTGATCCCCAGAACCGGTATTACCCAAGGGAGCTTTACCAGTATTTCTCAAAGAGGCAATATAAAAGTCCAGGAGGCGCACGAGTGGCACGTCGAGCCCTTGGAACCCCCAAGTTGACATAATTCAGCTGGCCCTAGCACCACCGTAGTAGAGCAGGTTGGAAGGCATGGGCATCAAGGTGGCAGGGATACTAAGGATCGTTCAATAAACCCCAAAACAAATTACCGTAGATGAGCCTGTGATACTAGAAACTTTAATGCAACATCTCGAAGCGAAAGAGTTGAGGGGCATCCCGCTCTAAGATAGCTAACAAAGTGCGGACTGGCGGTTACTCGATTCTCTGAAATCGGCATAGCGGTTGGCAGTTTCTACATCCCGGTGATTTACAACCCGTGTTCGTTTTTGGGGTGTAGATTTCGTGGCTTGTGGGGTATCGTTAGAAAATGTCCGCACGATCATTGACCTACCAGAGAAATTCAGAGATACTCCTACGATAGGCAAAACCTAGCATGGGGGGGCGGGGGAGGAGGGTTTTCTTTCATTCTCTCTATTCTCCGTATCAAAGTGTCGCTAGAGTAACCTCTACTATCCGGTGTAGCGCCGGGTATCCCACTCTCGATATGCCAGATGGATACATGGGGGCATAACCTCTTCGTGGACCTTGGAAATCACCACCGGCTAGGATCGTTCGGGGAGAATCTTGTACTATAGGGGTCTACATGCACTTAATCAGTGCATGTTCCCGGTCTCCCCTCCCGACTAGTACATCACGACCAATTGCGCTAACAAACTTTCGTGGCTCGGCAAATAGGTCTCTGTCCTATATTTATAGACCCCTCTGTATCCTGGATATTTCCGGGAGGAGCGCTCTCCTGGGCAGCTTACCGTAGTAGAAGTCCCCCACAGTGCCGGCATCGTAAAAGGACAATTGGGGTCAGACGCTTCTCTCCAATTCCAATTTCTGTAGCTTCCACCTCGCTAGTTTAGGAATCAAATTCGCTGTGAAGTTATTATATAATACCGGCCGACAGGGCAAGTCTATTTATCGAGGGAGAGAGAGCGCGGAGGAGACAACCCTGTGCGATGGGGTATTGATTTCACATACCGGTATCCACCGAGTGTCGTTACCCGTATAATGCCAGAACCCCCTCCGTCCGATGTGGTGCGGCGCGGTGTCTGTCTGTGCGTGAGAGGAAAATTAAACGGGCCCGAGGGTTAAATTAGGCTCTGGATATAATGAGGGGGCCGTTTACCCCAACCTCACTTAAGCACCTTACTTAATTTAAGCTACCCGGTATGGGTAAACACGGTACCTGCACGGTATACTTGCTTCCTGTACCGGTATGATGCAAAGTGTGAGCATGAGTAACATACAGTAAGCTGTGGTGCCGGCACTACACTTTTATCCAAAGATTTTTCCCCGAGCACAGTAAACGCCTAGTTATTCAACAGCGTGGTGGCCAGGAATAGTAATAATATTATTGGAATTGCGGGTATCATATCACTACCCTCACAAGCTGCCCTCCGCTTTTATGGCTGGTTTGAGCGGAGCGAGACTACTGTTGACTGCCGGCATGCCATCATGCCCGACCCTCCCGCTAAGGGTGGAGGACAACGAAGATCCCCTCCAAATTTGATGTCTTCTATGGTACCGGTACGATGCTAGATTTTTGGTGCATCGTTCGCCGTCACCCTCGAGTACTGTATTTATGAGAGGGCGAGACTACCGCGTCCCTAGAAGGTGCTTGAGAATCGCCAGGAAAAGATGACCCGAAGAACCGCCCCTGTATATATATTTTCCGGGGGGATTTGAAGAGTGGACTAATCATTTAGAGGCCCAATCGGATACGCACGATTTTTGTGGGGCTTGCCAGGTACCATAATTTGTAGCCGCACCACGATACGGTAGTACCCATGCACGGCTGCCTTTAATGGAAGCTGTTGATAGGACCTAAGTACTAGTGCTCGAGTACGAGTACAAGTACCCGTACAGTGCCGGTATCGCATTGCCCAGTGTGGCAATTGCAATTTGTCCGGTGGAGCAGACGATCGGTTGTACCTGGTGGCTCAAATACGCGGGCGGCTTCTCAGAGGGGGCACAGGAATAGTACGGTGCCGGCGCTTGTACACATACCGGTATCTGAGGTCCTGCTGTGGCCGGCTACTCGTACTGTCCCCGGCGCGAGATGGTTCCTGTACTGTACCATGCCGGAAGCGATGGGGGTGGAAGTTCACGGCCTCCCTGGGCGCATAGTTGCTTGCCCGCAAATATTGAATGAATCGTCGTTCTAAACTCCAAGTTAACTTTGGGCGACTGGTGTCCTACCGTACGAGTACTGTACCCGTGGCAAACCGCCTCCCACCAATTAAAAAAGGGGAGTCGAGGGTTACACACTCCCACTCCACAGCTTCTGGCACTACACTTTACTGGTAAGGTATGATATCACACAGATCACACTTGTGGTGCGGATATGAACTCATTGGATTGTAGTCTCAGATGGTGATGGGGCAACCGTTGCCTTTGCTTTCCCTCCAACTCTAGCGAGTGGGGGCGTAAACTGTGGGAAACACCGCACCGACCGTCGAGGACCAGGAAACTTGCCGTTAGCCTAGAGTTGAGCCTCTCCCTGCAGGCGGATAGCGTGGAGCGATCTGATGGTAACCTGCCATATTTACAACGGGGTAAGGTTATTTATACAGGCACTCCCCTCTCCCAGCGCTTAACCCATAAGATCCGCCTGGACGCCGGATGTGACTGGACAGGGGGTTCCTTTGCCCCCCCCAAGACGGGAATCCAAGCCGGCCTGTGCCCTTCACGGTATGTGTGCATTTCCTCGTCATGGCAGGCGCAACTTGCAGAGTGCTCGAGTACTTGCTCCCCATAGTGCTGCAATGATCTCGCAGTGCACAGCACTGTACCCTATCATACAGGATTCGCGTCATGGAAGTTTGTACGACAAAGGGATTACCGGTACCCGGGAGGGCGGGGCACGAGGCTTATCACTGACGACATTCTCCCTCAATTGGTGGCTCGCCCCATCGCACGGGAATGGTCCTTGGGATGAAGAGGATGGCGAACTCTAGATTGCAAGCCAACTCTACCCGTCCCGTTAGAGCGGGCTATCGCGGCAACGTTTATTCGGCAGACATCCCAGCGAAATCGTTATCGGTGCTTGGGTGGAGGTGGCTATCGGTCTCGTATACAACCTTTGCATACGCCCAGAGAGTCAAGAGTTAAGCTTAGAGTTTGTCGCGGTCATAACGTCAGTCGACAGCGCTTCGAGCGTGTGATAAAGTCAGGAGTAAGTTTAAGAGATTTTCCTGCCACCTCTCGATGGAGGCGGTTGGCTTTTTTTGGGTTCCACACCCAGACAGCATCACGAAATTTACGAGTATCGTATCCAGCTGATGGGTCGGACATTGCGTCAACAGCTTGCAAGTACGAGTACCGCAAGATGAGCCCTTTCCGCTGTAAAGCCACAAACCCTCTTGGCACGAGCGTCCCAAGCTCTGCACCGCCCCCCCTTTTTTCTTTTCCTCTCTTTCTCCCCCATTTCCTGCCGTTCCCTCGCCCTTCTGGCCGGAAATCTTGAAATCCTGTCTGATGTTCTTTTGTTTTTTTCCCCACTCGCGCGCTGCGTTGAGAAGGGTGGCGTGGGTGGGAAAGGAGAGAGCGCGTGGCAAAGGGGCGGTGCTTTGGGTTACAAGTACACTTCACGCCATGGTGTTGGGACCTCTCCGGCGAAGAGAAGGGTAGATCTCGGCGTCTCCCGTTGCCCTTCTGCTGAGCTTATTTAGTTCAGCGACCACAGAAATTGGTAGGGAGGGAGATACGGTAAATTGATAGGACACGCAACCGCACACCCAAGGAAAGAGATGGCCACCCGGACCCTTGTTCGCCTGCCGTCTCATGTGTGATTGAATTTCCTTTAGGTCTAGTGCACGTACGTAATGCTGTCCAGAGGCCAAGCAATACTATACGAGTACTGTACCGGAACTGTACCCTATATCTCGGAAGAAACCCCCCCCCTTCCCGTCTCGAAACCAACTCCTTCACCTCTCCTGCTCTCCGTACTCTCCCTCTCTCTGCACATTAGGTCTTATCAGGTCTTATCTCACCCTCATCACCCGAAATACTACCCTCTGTTGCCCGATAATGAGTAGCTTGACAAACATCTTCTCCTTCAAGGGGGTTCAAATCATCAAACCATCTCATCCAAACCAGGTCACTGGGACTCTCACCCTTTCCCGTGAGCGTCAGTTTGCACAACCCGCCGTTGGCGCCCCCGAGGATGAGTTTTTACGCATCAAGTTCGTCTCCTCTTCCGGAACGACAGAACTCGATACCCGCCTTTACGGTGAGCAAAGAGCTGAGAGGCTCGACCCCTCTACATTTACCGTCGAGCTTCGAGCGCCGGAGGAGGGTGCTCTGCTCGTCATTTTCCCCCCGGCGGATCGGATTGTTCCTCGGGAATATCTAGAATTCAATGCCGAAGGAGTCGATCTCCAGGTAACCTGGGCGCAGGTGGCTGACAGCTTCGCCGCCACGATAAACCAATGGATTGCCTTTAGTGATGGAGAAGCTGCCCTACCGGCCTACCAGCCTAGCTCTTATGCAAACGAGAAAGGTGCGGGGTATGGAGGTGGCAGCGCTGGTGAGGCTCATGCCCCGTACGACCCAAGCACATACCGGGACGAGAAATCGCAGGGCAGGTTGGTCTTGATTGACGAGGAGAATGGGCACGAGGTTGGTGAGGTTGACGGTTCTCACATTCATGCCGTAGGGGTACAGCCCGGAAGTAAAGGTTTGTTTCCCATTGCCGCTGCGAAGTGAAGGAATTTACAACTAATTCGCCGTTAGAACCTGTTGAGGTCTCGCTGCCGGAAGATGGCTCGGGCCAGGTCACTGTAAGCTGCCCCCTACCGCTTCCTGCGCGAAAGTTTGCTTGGTCGGGGGCGAGGTTCCTGAAGGAAATATGTTCTAACCCCAACTTAGATTCGTCCTGCAGATTACTTGAAGGACGCCCTTGACCCTGCTTATAAGAACTCGTCAATCGTCGGAACTGCCGCAACCGCGTCCCGGCTAATTGTCACTACGAGCTCATATATCGCAAACGCTATCCAATCGGGGGCAGATACTTTTACCAGAAAGACAAAGGCCAATGAAACCCCCTTAACGTTCAGTCCTAGCACCCACAACCGTGTGCGTCAACTTCACACACTCTCCTCGAGCGCTGCCAAATTGTCTTCACAGGCCGTTGGTCAAGTGTCCAAGCATGCACAGAATCTCGGCGCCCGAATTGCCGGCCGCTCTGAGAAGGGGAGGCCAGCAAACCCAGGGTTGCTGAACAAGTCACTGGTAGCTTTCTCGACGATCGCCGACGGTATTGACTATGCGTCAAAATCTTTGTTAGCCTCGGGCTCCATTGCAGCTACGACTATGGTTGGGCATAAATATGGCCAGGAGGCCAGAGAAGTTGCATATGGGCTTACCGGGTCGGTAAAGAATGTTGGTCTGGTATACGTAGATGCGTCTGGCGTGTCTCGAAGAGCCATCGTGAAAGGTGTTGCAAAGGGTATGGTGGTCGGGAAAGTTCGTGGCGGTGGGAGTATTGTTGTTCCGGGACAGAATGAGGTTGTCGATGGCATTCCAAAAGGCTGGGGCGATGGCCCCCTTGGCGGACCTCATCCCGGACCTCCATCGCGCAGTCAATCTATCCACACGCCTGGGGGCCGTTCATCGCCAGTACCACCGCCATATCAAAGTGCTAATGGCAACATCCCTGGCCAGGGAGGTGGCAATCTTTACTTTCCCCCACCACCAGGAAGCGGTGGCATGTCTCCCCAGGTCACAGGCTCCAGTTATCGATCTTCTAGTCCTGGGGATAACTCAACGATGCGTTCCGTCAGTCCTAGACCCTTTGATGAGAAATCTGGTCCCAACAACATGCACGGCGGGTACAGGTACTAGATGTCGGACGCGTGGCTAGGACTGAAGTGATTTTTTTTTCTACTACCCGATCCTCCATAGTGCTCTCATTCTCTACCTCTTTGCCTTTTGATGTGCTGGCTGTCATAAACTACTTTTGGACTATTCTGATTTTCTTTTCTGGGGGAGGCTTGAATCGGATATGGGCTAGGGCTGGTATAGATTCTTTTTTAACGAGTAATGATGATTTTATTGGTTTTGGGTGATTAGGTTTTGGAAAACTAGTGAGGGGCCGCACAGTACTCGTCAAGAACATTACGTATCAACACCATTACAATAGCAATAGAGCGAGAGGCTTTTGGGTAACCATTTTCGGATATGCCTCGAGGGGCAATGTGAATATGTATCGCGATTTGCTTCTTACCGACTTATAGGAGGGGGGGGGGGCGGATGCGTTTCCATGGGCTGGCAGCATTTGGAGGGTATGGGAACTGTGCGGACGTGGTTGTACTGTACAGTACTAGTACCAGCGCTGTGAACACGATGGGATAAATGGCCTGGACGAAGTGAAGGGTACTATGCATATTTCTTTTTCTTATTCAGGGCGGCGGCAACAGAAGCCGAAATTATCTTGTCCGGTAGGAAAGATCTCATTTGTGATGGTCAAAAATGCCCATGGGGGTTACGTTCCTCTCTTAGGTGAAGTGTGGTACCGGTAGCACACTTTAGGGTTTTTTTGTCCAGTCATAAATTTATATAGCTCGGAGGCGATTGCAGGTAGTATCATTCCTTGCCACACACTCGTAGCCTAGAACTCAGCAGACACTAAGTTCCTTCTTCTATAATACCATGGGAGAGGTTTTTCTGCTATTGTGGTCATCCTTTAGAATCATGTATGAACCCTTCCGACAGATAGACACTGAAGATTAAGTGCTCCGGTCCGTACCCGGGGGGGTCCGCTCTGCCTTGGTCCATTGACTCGGAATCACCTAGAACGGTGTGCTCGGCGCGCTGATTGGTGTATCACTTCCACAACCACGCTGCAATACTGTTGTTTATTATAGATTATAATCTGCGGGGGGAGGGGGTTGACTCTCAGTAGCATACCCAGCGACCTGCAGAAGGGTTCCCGTAATGAGGCCGACAATTTGATTATTTGACGAGCCGACGAATAGGTGAGTAACGGTGGGGGGGGGGGGGGGCTCGTCGTCGGGGGTAATTTTTTACCTTTCCGTAGGCGTTCGCATGCCCAGGCTTCGTGCATAACTGCTCTTGCCCCGGGAGGTTCTCGGGGTGTGTGTGCATACACGTTGCCATTGATCGGACGGGCCAATATCATATACATCAACAGCCTCGACCATACCGGTGATCTGTTACCTTCACCACTATTCCTCGATATCCGAGTCCGGTCCGGTAGTTAGAGGTTAAGAAAAGGAGAAACAGTTTGCGATGCAGGACCATCCATGCGCCCCCCCCTCCCGGACCTAGACCTGTAGAAGATATCTTTGGACGTTCAATCATGTCGGTGGAAGTTTGCGACCAACCTACAGATATCTGGGCGTCATGATTGGTTATTCGTAGATATCTGCTAGCCATTCACATATCTGCTATCAACATGGCCGTATGCGGAATGTCTGTGGCCGCCTCTGGGGGTTTCTGTAGCAGAGCCAGACTTATATCTGTAGACCATCTCTAGGTCCTCCTAGCACCCCTGTGAACCCCACTTTTCGTTCTTGTACCCCCTTCGACTGCTCTCTACCACTCTCAGCGCTAGTTCTCGAACGGGGCTCAGGTCTCGATCATCGACTGGCTATCACAGTAATCATCATAAATTATTATCCCCGCGCACACACGTGGAATTTATCCCCCGGTTTGCTCAAGATCTGACTTATCCATATATCGCTAGTACCTTTATCTCAAACTTTGGCCATAGTTCTTTCTCTCCATACTACAGTACAATTAAAGAAAGGGGGGGGGGGGGAGAGAAGAAATGTCTGGACGGTTCCTCAATTATCCCCCTGATTCGATGCGCTACATTTTGATGAAATCATTTGGACGATATTTGAGGAGTTCGTGACTTTGTTCATCTGTGATGATGGTGATGGTATATCGATACCACTTAGGGCCTTGCGTTCGGTAGCCATGCTGTATGTATGATGCGTCATCACCAGTAAAAAAAAGGTAAGACTGAAGACCGTCGTCGTTGGTTTGTGCCGAATGTGAGACCCGAGTGATGGGGAATGATGGGGTTCATTTTTTTCCACGATTCGCACTGACTTAAGCCTTTCAGTGTAGTCTTAAAGTGACATGGGTATCGTAGATCTTCGGTTATAACATACTATAGTCTTAAGCCTTTCCAGAACTTTCCTCTGGTTCCAAAAATATAATGGGTATAGTTGCACTTGGGGTAACTTTACCCATCTTCACAGTCGGTGTTTATTATGTTGCAGGTTCATCAAGTTGGCAGTTTGGACCCCCGAGGAAGAAACTATTTATTCCTATATGCCAATCGGGGAATATATGCACATCCAACATCCATTAAATCCAACCACCAGGTTATTCATTTATCAGCAGTGGGCCTGAACAAAAGAAATCCAATCCCCCAGATTTAGAAACGCCCTTCCTCCCCCAGCTCTTCTCTAGGTATCATAACACGACTTTTTACGATGTCAAGTCCCAGCACATAATGCGGTCTGGAAAACACTCACAAAACAAAATAAAGAGAACAGACACCTCTCTGCAATTTCTCAAAAAGGGAGAAAAAAGGGGGGAACAAAAATATGTCGTGACAAGAGTGCCAGTACACTTGGCAAGCAAATTGGAAAAAAAAAAACCATCATTCAAACCTCACTCTTCTCCACAGAGATATTCCTGCTCCCTAGCGCGGTGCTTGGAGTCGTGCTCTCGCCGTCGCCGGTCAACTTTCTATTGCTCACGCTACCCTCCACTTCCTCGGATTTTTCGTTCCCTGAAGTCATGGAGCTCTTGATGAAGAGGACGGCAACGACGACACTCGCAGCGCCAAAAGCCATGGAGGTATAAAACGAGTTTCTGTAAGACTCTTTCAGTTCCTCCCTCGTCTCGCCGTGAACCAGCGAGCTCGCAATCGCGAAGCCCAGAGCGGTGCCCAGTTGCGCCACTGTCTGCAAGATTCCCGCGATGAGGCCCTGCATCTCGCTGGGCGCGCTGGAAATGGCCACGTTGAGGTAATTGACGAAGTAGCCGGCCATGCCGATGATCGCAACGACCTCGCCTGTGAAGGTGTACTTCCAGAAGTTGGTGTCCACCTCGTTGCGCGAGAAGAGGAGGATGCCGACGAGACCGAGGACCTCGCCCGCCGCTATGACCCATTTTGGCGGTACACGGCCGTACACGGCGCCCAGGAGGGGCATGACGATCAGGGCCGTGACCGAAGTTGGGAGGAACTGGATGGCGGAGGTGATTTGCGACTTGCCCTGCACGCGGACGAGGAATTGACTCCCGTTCAGGAGGAAGATGAAGAAGGTGGCGTAGGTGAAGCCGGTTATCGCCACGATAGGACCGAAGTTGTGGTATGACCAGACTTTCCTGGGGATGAGGGGCTCCAGGGAGACGTGCTTCTCCAGAACGAATTCCTCCCAGACGAAGAAGAAAATGATGATTACGCCTCCGAGGACGATGGGTGCAATGACCTTTGCCTGGCCCCAGTCTGTGGGGGCTTCGGTGAAACCGAAGACAAGAAGGAGGGCACCAATGGTTATAAAGACTGCTCCTGGGTAGTCCAGTTTTTTCGCTAGGGGGATGTTGGTGGGGCTAGGAGGGACGAGGACGAAGGCCAGCACCGCGAATACCATCGACAAGGCGAAGGAAAGCCAGAAGAGTCCTTTGTAACCTAGAGAGGTAGTGGTGAAGGCACCACCGACTGGGAAACTATCAGTTCTCATGCTTTCCGGGGGGGATACCAAGAGGTGTATCATACCTAGAGTTCCGATAACAGCTCCAACAGCTTGACAAGCACCCAGACCACTGACCGCCATCTGCTGGCTTTTCCCTGTGAAAGTGGTTGCTACAAGAGCATAGGAGGTCGGAATTGTGCATGCCGCCGCAATTCCTTGAAGCGCTCTCACGACATAGAGAGCTATAACGTTGTCGATCCCAGCACAAATAGCAGAGCAAATGGAGAAGAAAAGGAGGCCGACAGAGTATACCATGTGATGCCCTATCACATCACCTTTAAAGAGATTGAAAAGGGTTAGCCTCCAGTGATATCCCATGATCTTGCGGGGGGGAAGGAGCACAAACCAAGTCTTCCCGCAATCAACAAAAAAGATCCAAACGTGAGCGAGTACGCAGAAAGAACCCAACTAGCCTCCGTCTCTGAAATATCATACTTCTCCGCGATGCTGGGTAGAGCAAAGGTCACGCCGGTGACATTGATGATATCAAGAATCTGCGAGCCGGCAAACACGGCGAATGTTAGCGGACGGAGGGTCTTCCTTAGTTGGTCGAGGCGCGGAGAGTCCATGTCTGCCCTGGCAGCAGGAAAGAAGAAGCAGAAGATCGGAATGCTTTGGAGTTAACGTCCTTGAGTCCATGGGAGCAGCCCGGGGGGCCCCATATATATATGTATAATATATACGCGATTCTCTCATGGATGAGCTACCTGCCCTGGCCGTTCAAGCATTATTTCTCTACGCAATTAAGGATTACAAAGAGAAAAAAGAAGGAAAGCACACACACGTTGTGGAGATAAGCGCTATCCCACTTTAACCTCCATTTGATGGGCGTCGGTATTCCGCGGCCGTGGAATTATTCACAGGCGGCATTGGTACTGCTTTTTTTTCCCTTTTTTTTTCGAAAAACCTTCCATGTTATTCGCTCCTCAAATGATATGGAGATATGGTGTTGGATTGTCCGAATGGCGGGCTGCCGACTCATAGAGGACGGAATCAAGAAAGTCCGGGTGTGGTGTAGCACTACAGTCACCCTTAAAACATGTTCAACAAGGTATTCCGGAGAGGAAGAAGGAGTCTGCACGGAACTCCGACGACTGCGTGCCAAGCCAAACTCTGCTCTCACCACTGGCGCCTGTGATGTATAGTAATACAGTACTGTCACTTCCGACGTCGCGGGATTGGCGGCGCCGCTTACCCTCTTGGCTGCCGGCATCCGTCCTCTCTCCAAAGCAAGCCTGTCTCTTACTCGTGAGGCCATAGAACAGGGCTGGTCCTGTCCCGGCGCAAGCACATTCCCGTTTTCATACCGACATCTCCATTTTTATGCAGCCACTCCCGCGAGTCGAGTCCCTTGCGACGCCGGAAGATGCTGCACAGTACCCGAGTACTCTCCTACGGACCGAAGATGATCTGATAACGTGCAGCAAGCCTGTCACAAAAAGTCATGGGTAGGTTGGCATTTTGCACCAACAATGAGCAACTTTACATCCGGAGATCTCACCTTTGAAAAATCAAAGCTCTATCAATAGACTTTCGGAGAGAAATATCAGAAGCATTAGGGATGGACAAGATACCTTGAATCATACAGGTTTTCCGCAAAAAAGGCACACTGCAACCCCCCACGAACAAATCTTTGGCCATCAGCGCCCACACAAGGGTGACGAGAATCACACAATCTTCATTGAAGTAGGCTAAACATGGGCTCCCCCAACTCCCGGAAGCGCGCCGCTTGTAAACATTTACAAAACATCTGATAAAAAAAGTCAGGAGGGCCATCCAATGGTCATTGAAACACCCCAAATTCGACGCATCTGATAAAGGTGGCCATTTCACGGGAGAAGGAAAAAATGGAAAGAAGGAGGGTTGAAGATTGGAGGAGCGCAGCCGGCTGGTACCCGGTAATCCCGTTGCGTCATCGTGGGGGCGGACCCGGGATTCGGGTGTCATGGTGGGCCGGCCGACTGCAGGATTGAAACCGTAAATCTACTGTACGAGTACCAATACTCGTACTGTACCGGTACTCTGCTCGGGTGTGGACGTAGGGTACTGTACCAGACAACCGGGGATTATACGGGTGGAAGTTGAACCGTTCTACCCTCATAGGATGTGAAGGTGTGAATTTGGCCTGAAAATTGGTTAAACAAGCAAGAAGCTTTGACCCCTCTAGTCTAATCCCCGACTGTCAGGTCACCCACGTCCATACCCGGGTATCATACAAGTACCGGTACTTAGTACGGTACTAGGACTGGTACAGTATTCTCTACGGTGGTACAGTACAGTAGTGGAGTATCATTGTGCCGTGCCCACGGCCCTGACAACAACCTTGCGACGAATAAAGTCCGGATCGACTCATGCGCTCGCGAGCTTTTGTTAGCGAAGAGTAATATTAAGAATTTTGAGCCCCCCTATGACTCTTCTCGCTCCGATCCAGGGCTCTTACCTGGATCTTTCCCTAGGTTGTCTGCACTTTTTTTCTCCTAAACCGGTAGGTGCACTTCTAGAGGACTCTGCACAGTACAGTAAGAGCTCGGATACCGGTACCGGTACCGGTAATTGGACCATGTGCTATGATATGTACCGTACTCGAGTACCGTGGTCGGAAATTTCCTCCTCTGGAAAAAGGGCCGAATACAAACCAAAAAGCAAGGGTTTTCCGAGATAATCAGATAAAATATAAAAGAAAGCTAGATCTTACCGAGAGAGGCAAGTCCAACGTGCCGTACTAGAACATGGCCCAACTACTTGTACCGATATTCGGGTTCTTACGGTACTGTACTGTATGTTGCTGTGCTGATAGAGGTAGGGCGGTCAACTTGACGTTAATCCTTACAGCCCTTTTGTAATCAGAATTCTACCCATATCTAGACTCCCTTCCGGAAGAGGGCTTCTCATAGAATATGCTGAGTAAACGGGAATTGCATTGGTGAGCCGTGGCTAAGCGAGGGAAATGTTATGGGGCATATCGGTGCCGGTTCTGTACAGTACTGTACAGTACACGGTACTTGTGGTATCCTGACATTACCCCTATCCGACCTTATGCCCGTTGCTTGTACCATGAAAGGGATCGAAGATGTGGGTATGATACCCGCTGTAACACTATGTTGTTATAGTGTCCGTACCTCGTTTCGCTATGAACTTAAGTACCCAAGCCTCGAATACTACTGAAGCAGCCTGAGGTGCCCTTTTTTTTCTTCCCTCTCCCCCCAACTGACTGAATGCTCCAGTGAGGTTTGTGTCGACACGAGTGGGGTGGCTCATCCGCCCACCTAACAAGTCGCGCGTGAATGGTGATTTTGATCAGCCTCTCGGAAATCCCCGGGGGTGACAACTGCATTCCTTCCCTTAAATCCCGAGAATGGGGTTTGACTCCCAAGCTACGAGGGATCATGTGTGAAATTGGACTCGTACGGCCATCACGCCGGCTCACGGGGGAAATAGCGACTCTTGATGAGTAATATGTATTGCAAATATATATCCCTATGGAGCCCGTCTATTCCCAGGTGTGATAGCAAACACTCGTGCGATGCTACCCTATATCCTGTTCTTCCTGCATCTGTTGCAAGCAAGGAGCTCACATCGCCTGCTGGCGAAAATTTGCTCGGGGAGGTTATAGTAACACATCTTGAACAGGGCTCTTCCACCTCGATACCTCCATCCAGAAAACATGTTGGCGCTCGCGATTCACCTGCAGATTACTTCTATATCTTCCCACGAGATTAGCCACGGCTGTCTGGTTCGCGATTGGAGGCGTGCCACGCATGGCCAACTCCTCCGCTCGTCTAGCCAAGTGTCCATCGTCCCGGTCACTACATTCGCACTGCTTCCAGGTGACTCCGCACTTAAAGCACCATCCCGATTTGCAGCTACAGTTTCCGCCGCTTTTGAGAACCCAAATTCCCCACTAGTCGTATCAATCATGGAGTTTCGTGATCCGCAGGTCATGGGATGACATCCGGATGGAATCTCAACCAAGGTATGGCGGTTCTTGCATCTCTGACATCCGCTTCGTGAAGCGAGTCCCAGGGTGAGGTGCAAATGCTTGTCTTTGGGGCAGTCAGAAGCACTCCGGATAACTTCCTATGACACCCTGGATTCGCTCTGAGGGAATGAACTCGGAAAAAATTGGTTTCAACAATACGTCCTGTCATTGCTGGAATAAACGCTGGATTTCAACCGGAACTCCGACACTTCGTGGCCCGAAAGTGCTTTTCCGCCATGTGGGGCGGGATCACTTTCTTGCAACACTGCAATGGGAAGAGTATCTCGTCTATACAGGCGTTGGGAAACACTTCTTTCATACAGGATTGGCGGTATATGTGCCCGCATAGAGCGCTCAAGGTGGAGTGCCGCGGGGATGTGTCAAAATGTATTTGGCACCTGTTCTTCAGCTCACTCTTGGGCGACGTCCAGATAGGCCGGGTGTGGCCTAAATCATATCATCTTAGCAACATATCGACCGGAGGGCCAGTACCATGGGCCACGATAACGGAACCCAAACCACCGGTTTCTTCCTCCCGCTTGCTCCTCCAACACTAATTTCGCTTACCATTCATTCATCGCAATCTCGGTAGCCTTGTCCACCCGATCTAACCCCGTGGCTAATGCTTGAGGCTCTGGGTCCATTGAGCTAACTTCCCCCTCACTCTTTCTCCCTAAACGTAGCATGAGGTCACAATCAAGGGCCTGCAACCCTCTCAGCCGAAGTTATCCCTGCTAGGATATCACCATCTGACTGCATCGCCATCCAAACTTTTCGCAATGCCGGGGTCGATAATTCTCTACTCCAATTCGTGCAGATACTTGCGATAAGTTTCTAACGCAAGTTCGCCATTGGACATCGAGAGATCCCCCTGGTTGCCCTCCTCTCTTCGAGCGGTCAACAATTTCTCGATACCTCCCGCAGGTGAAGTGAGATGACCAGTTTTTTCCGATAACTCACCCACCCCACACTCCGGACCGGGTCTCGGGGAACTTCGGAGCAAACCCCTCAACGCGGGGGAATAATAATCCTGTTCCGTATCAGGATTCCCGGAATTGCCGGTAACGCGGAGAAATAGCAGAAAGGAGCCAGGGATGTGAATATAAGAGGCTGTTCGAGGATTCTACGGTGTACTTCTGTACAGCACCATACCGAGCTCATCTCTCATTTACTCTAGGGATGTTTTTGCAATCCTACTCACATTATGGCAGTTTAACAAACCCGTTCAATCCCCCCTAGGATATTCATCCTACCATACTCATCCCCCCAACAAAAACAAATAGACAAGCAAGACACCATCCGATGGGGGATTCTTCCTACTGTAACAGAATATCAGGCCCCCCCCGCAGGGATCGAAGTTTGATGACGACAAGTAATGTCGAATGCTTACTCCTATATCTTGAAGGGCTATCATACCGCAAGAACTTGAATTATGGAACCTCGCCCCAAGACAAATAAATAAAAGACAAAACTACCATTACCAGGAGAGGAAACTCCGGCGCTCTATCATGAAGTCAGGTCGTTCCAGTCCCCACGTATCACAGGTAAATACCTGTACACTAATAGCAATTGACAAAGCATAAACACTAGTCCAGTAACAATTTCGGGGTCAAATCTAGAAGCACGGTACCGCTATTATCTCTCTACCAATTTCAGGCATCCACAGGATTCCGGAGTATGGTGCTGGCACTTAAGATCCACCAAAATCCAAGACAAAAATAATACCCGAAATTTCCAACTAGAAACATCTTTGGGAACTCACGGTTCTAGAGAAGTGCATAGAAGTCATCCCCCTCTGGTTCCATGTTTCCTTATTTTCAACCGGAGAAATACCAGTGGAGATAGTAAAGGTTCGAATTATTATCCAAGTATAGTTGTCTTCTAGGTAACTCTAGCTAAGCCCAATATTTCGCATGTATTGGTGAGCAGAATGAATTACATATGAATGCTAATTTCAAGTGTCCGACGCCATAAAATAATTTATAGGAACGCGGGTAGTATGGCGCCAGAAGTAAGGACGGGAGAGACTAAACACTTCCCCTTGACGGCCTCTAGCACCACAGTGCAAATTATTGTGTTCGATAGAAAGTATTAGTTGGGTTGTTGCACATCCCACGTCCAAAGAAGCCTGGATGAATTGTATTTAAGCTCACCTCACAAATTTGGAGCAAAAGTGCAATAAAGAAAGGGGTCTATTTGACCTCGGACGGCTATCCCCCGGCTGCGGCATTGGGTGAACCCGCCAGCCCCCCTCCCCCATTCCTGCCACAGATTGGCCAGCGTTTCCGATAACTGAAATACCTCCATTACTGTATGCACGAGGGGTGCCTTACCATCGCTACCAGTATCGCTATTCACACCCAAATGAAACCCTCAATGACCCATCCAGAAAATAAATCAGAACCTCGCTATCAGTCCTGTACAGTACGACATTAAGCTTTCCATAGGTTTCAGTGACCGCGCCGTGAGATAAAAACTGCCGCTCCGCCCATTTTGTTCTGGATTTTAGAACCCAAAATCCGGTTGTACTGCACCGATGCCTTTCTGTCTTTACTTCCGCAGGTTACTTGTATTGAGCCACCCATGTGACCGGATCTTCGGATGCTGGCGAGTCTGACATTCAACCAAGACGACGATCTCGACTGGTGGTTGTGCCATTGTATCATAACATGAGACACCCCCGGGGCTTTTCTCGACCAATGGACCCGCTCAGGGCTTCGCCGGAAGTTGATTCGAGTTATCCGGTACGAACCGATGCGGGCACCGTGAAACACAGTATTAAGGCGGTAATAATAACCAGAGTCCAAGGTATCGGAATCATCGGATATCAATCGGTATTCTGCTCACTGGTAGATAGCATCATAGCAGAAACCTATTTTGCCATCCCAGACATGCCCATAGTCAAACGCGTCCTCGAGATCTAGGGACTCTTTTTATTTTTTATTTTTTGGGCCCCCGCTCTGTTGGGTGGCCACTACCCCACTTTTATTCAAGGAGTTTGGGTGTGCTCCTTCAAACACACGGCAAAACAGAGAAATTTCGACATCGTGTCTAACGCTACGCACCATGATGATAGAATATAAGACTGCTCTCTATTATTATCAGGGCTATCCGCATATGGAAGTTAGAAGCACTCCAATTCATAGAGACAAGCTTGCAGGATGAGAGTGAGGATACCTACACGCTATAGTAGATATGATAAATCCCGAAGCAAACGTATGCAGAGGGTTTCTGTTGTAACATGTCAACATGAAGGATGGGTGACCCCCCCCCCCTACTTTTATTAGCTCCCATCAGCAGTTTGATAGGCTCCGCGGTGTTTATATCTACGGAATCATGACGCCCCGTATTATATGTTACCCAAGCGTAAATCCCCCTGCACGAGGCGGTCCTCGTCGAGTAATGCGGGATGATTTCGCAATTATCGTAGCCCCACCTACTCGAGTGCAATGCATAAAGTCCAGTTTTAGCCTTGGATCCTCAGCTACCCGCTAGGTTGGTCCCCGCCCCCTACCGGTACTTCATAGCCTTAGAAAGCGCTAACACCCCCGGTCCGCCCCCACTATACTGTAGAGGAGTATTTGTTTGGTGAGCTAGATAGGTCGAGCTGTTGGCTGGCCGATCACATGCCTAGTGCCCCAAACCCGATCTCCGGGGCCAGTAGGGGCAAGACGGCTGTTGGTTCATTGGGTTCCTCTACTCCACTTAGCAGCAGCGGCAGCTCCAAGGGGGCCACGAGGAGATAATGTTACCTGAAAGTAGTGTTTTCACAGGAAACTATTGCGTTATCTAGGGGATATACAAAACGATGAACCAGTTGAAATGATTCTGAAGGGGATACACAATTTCAAAACCCCCTTTCTGAATATCCATCCCCACGCCCCATTCGCTACCGTACATCCCAATCGATTGAGACTGGCGGTTAAACTCTAGGGAGTAGTGGGGGCTGGTGTAATTCAACCATTGGAGTAAGAGAGGCCTAGGAATACGAGCCAATAACTGTTCACCCGAAGGAGAAATAATTCGTTTAGCCGGAAGCTTCAAACCCTTAGACCCTAAAATATGACTGCTAGTGAAAGTGGATCCCGAAATTTTAGTTTCATTATGATAAGCTGACTGCAATCTGTAGCGCTAGGGCAATGAGCATTCTAGGCGCTAGTTGGTGGTGATCCTGATCTCTAGGGACGATATCAACTCTTCCGATAGGAGCGTAAGTTAGGGGGGTTCTTCAAATATCAAATCTATCACTCGAGTATAGTTAGCGGACGTTGTTGGAAATCACTCTGCATGAGAGACTTACTGTACGCCCCTTAGAGTAGTGCTGGAAATGAAATTCCGATTTAAAATTCAGTGACAATTTGTCAAAAAATATAAATAAATAAAAGAACGAAAAAAAGGGACTACCGGTGAACCAGACCTTTTTTTACCGCTACTCCCCACTCAGGTCATTCCCGCCGATTCTCGCCAAATTAGGTCCCGCTCCACCCAGTATTTTAATAAGACTTCGCTAGATAGTACTCACTGCTGGAAAGTAGTCGGGCTAAAGATAGCCGTGGAGTGGAGTTCTAACTGCTCCTTTCAAAAGACAGTGGAGGGCCGTCCGCTGGGCAAGCCCGCCGCAAGCAGCTGTATTAATGCGGATCTCGAGCGGGTTCTTTCCGTCGCCGCATCCCTGCACAAGCGCCGGGGGCTAGGATTGCCGGCACAGTATCATACTTGTACAAGTACTCGTACTCGAGTAAAGGGCTGGGCTGGAAGTCTACCCGAATTCCCACCGCGCAAAACACACCTGGGATCCCAGAACACGAATACTACTGATCCTGGAGTACTCGAGCACTCGAACACGCTCCTGGGCAATAAGAAGCAATCGAAAAGTTCCTCGCCTGAACCAGGGTCGAGGAGCGGCTCGATCGAGTGCTAATGCCGCCCCCGGATCCATACCCAACGGCCCCCCGGCAAAGCCTTCTGGAGCCAGGTAAGTCGGCCCCACCAACCCGTCTCCAGGTTCTACTACCGCTTTTTTCCTTTTTCGTTAAACCCGTTGTACAGTACCGGTACTGTTTTAGGTACGTGCTGATATGATGTAAACAACTTTCCCGAGCCCAAACCGCCGCATTTATGAGGGATCCGATGGCAAGTAAAATGGCCAAAGCAAAATCCGAGCAAAAAAAAGATAAAAATCAAAAATAAATATTGACAGTGCCCAAAGAAGCAACTGTCAAAGCTAATCTGTATTCTAACCGAGATTTTTCATGCATCTATCCATCCATCCAATCTCAGGCTACCGGTGCCAGCTTTCAATCCTCATCCCACCCCGCCGTATTCGTGTACCAGTACGACGACCTGACAATGGTGGTCCCCTGCCTATTAAGTGGATCTTGTGTGACCCGATTCAGAAAGCAGACCAAAGAGTGTAATTATGCCGATGTCGGTGCGTCTCTCTGTGGTGGTGGTAGTAGAGTGCTAGTCATGGTGTTTTATACCAGAACGCTTGTGAAAATTCAAGTTCCACTGCTAGGCAGGATCAGGAGATTCGTGTGTATTTGTGGTGCTGTGCCCGCCCTAACCTTCCTAAACAGGAAGGCGAGGGGTAGGGTCCGTAATATAGTGGAGGTGGGGCATGCCCTGGGTTCTGATACTAGTATGATACCATCCTCTGCACAGCACGAGCACAGATGCTGAGCTGTCACCTATACTACCGCCGTAGGAAACGAGTTGCCTAGGAGACCAAGTGGTGCCTAGGTACCTTTTATACCAGTAGTAACTCCTATTCATGATCCAATACTATCAAATTATTGGAGCTTGTTTGAGAGCCCCAAAGCATGATTTTATGTGTAGTATTTTAGTGCCTCCCTTGTTGACTTGATAGTTAGTAACAGGCATGCTAGCAATAATAATATAGAGGGTTTTTATTTTTTATTTTAGACAGCCTACTATTAAATATGTATTGAAGAACTACTTCATATCTGAAAGAATGTAGTCAGAATGTGGTAACACTTGCAAACTTATAGGATCATGGAAGTTGTATTAAACAATTCCTACCAGAAAAGAATATACTTAGCTAGCTCAATCAATTCACATTTCTTTACTTGACTAAATAGAAATAAGTAAATATAGGTAATTTACTACCAATGATATTTATTGGAAGTAGGAGTAGTTGAGAGATTGTATAGCCTGGTATTTGCTGCTTTAGCATAGCTGGATGTTTGGGTAAATGGTAGATACCTGTTTTTCTTACTTGTATTTAGTATACAGCTACAACTTAGAATTCCAGTAAAGAAATATTCCACCTATTCTTATAGACATCATATTGTAGAGTACAGCAACTTGAAGGCTAAGATAACAAGGCAACTATTCTCCCATTCCCAAGTCTGATTAAATCAAAACCCATTCCTCCTAACTTGAATCCTATCATCATTCTTTAAATTAAGAGTAAATAATAGGAGAGCCTATACCATATAATTTTTTCTAATACTACACGGTATTTATGCACGCGCTTTCAAGTCGAAGTGCTCATATGATTTCTAACATGAGGTGAAAAAAAACTCGAGTTCCTTCATCAATCACATTCCGCTGCGATTTCTCACGTCACGATGCCACACTGTCTTACTATTCGGCATTTCCGCTTCCTTCACTACCATCTCAAGGCTTCCCTGGCAACAAATACAGCGATCCCCAACCTCAACTTACAAAAGCAAAAACAACCAAAGACACACTTTAAACTCCCCCTTCCCTTAATCTCCTATCCCTCACACTCCTCTCTCCCATTCTCAGTTTCTCCCCTTCCCTATGCCCCCCTCTCTCTCCGTCATTCTCACCAACACCTTACCTGGCGCTTGTACTTCATATGACTCCATAGGTGCCAATAAACCGCAAGGCCAATTTGTCGTAGCACACTTAAGTTCTTTCTTCAGTTATGATATCTTGAACACAAATGATATTACAGAATAAGTAGGAGCATTCCCGTGCCTACGTAAACTCCAAGATAACATTATAAGGTATGTCCTATTTACCCAGAGAGACACCAGCCCTAAGTTCACTTTCCTACGGCGCCGGGACGATACTGCATGCTGTGCCTCCGAATGTGGAGCTCCTTGCAAATGCCGCGACACCCCGCTGGCTGCAGTGCTACAGTGAATGATTCCAAAGCTCCTCATAAATAGGTTTAACTTGGTGCCATCAAAAGCGCCAGCACCCCTTCCCCTGCCTCGAATGTTGTCCCCCTGACGCAAGCGATCACATGATAGCCAAGGGAATCCTTATCACCACCCGTGGATCTTTTGGTAAGATTACCTAGAGATAACTTTTCGTACTCGTACACTCGCATACCAAGTTTCACTGGCTGGGCGCAGAAGTACCTGTATAGAGCGAAAGCACGTCCCTAAACCCACGTATCACAATCCGAAAGAAAAAAAAAAACACTGGTAATGACTTCGGCTCTATTTGAACGACCGTCTTTGGCCAAAAACGGATGAAAACTGCAGCCTAGTATTTCCGGCGTTGAAGCATCCTTTTCACGAGGGATCTCGTAAATCTACAGTACAGTAATTACCAGCGACGGGCGATCGATCGTACTGGGCTGCATCTCGCTTATTACACCCTCAACTATCGCCGAACACTACCAGATTCCAGGCCTCGTTATTGGTTTCTCGCCCTTATGGTATTTTATTTTCATTGTTACATTCCGGGGGGTGGAGGGTTTCGGTAAATTTTTTGCAAGGCCCCAAACTGAGGGGTTGTTTGGCACTGTGAGGTTTGAACGGATAGTGTTTGGCTGCGCCCTATTTCCAAACAGTGGTCTCTGAGGTTCCCAAACTGAAGTTTGAGACAAATTTTTTTTTGGTAGGTTGATATTCCCGTAATTCTTGTATCATAATAGACTTTCCTTTTACGTCATGTTCTATTGGTATCGCTAAAATGTGATTTATCTATTTTTTCACTCAAATCTTTACAATTTATGATACTTGAGGTGTTTGACAACACATACCACTCACACAGCAGCTTTCGAACTACACAAGCTGCGGTTTCAAAGCAGCAGTCTGAGTGGTTTTCCACCCAGGTCTCACTGCGCCAAACAGCCCCTCTGTCTAGCCAAAGAACTTCGTTCCAGCAGTGGGTTGAGCAACTCCCCTTTGCTGTGCTTTTCGCCCCTTCGGGGGACGGAAACTTTGGACTACCTAAGGCACCATACAATCATTTGAAATTCTACTGGACCCTATTACTGCACGATACCTCCTACCAATTATAACCCCCACTCCAAATACCCAGGGGTCACACGAGAGTACGATATACTGTAGGAAAGGAGTAAATGTGTTGAAATATTCTGCCTATTATGTTCCCCAATAATAATAACCCGGATATCCCGAAACGCTGTTAAGCCTGGGATATCAACGAGACAAGAGAATTCATTAAAAATCTGAAGGCATAGATTAGCCTGTAGCGTCTTAATTACTTAGGAGCTTGTTTATCAAATTTCCGAGGCCTTTTTGGGAGGAGGCGGCGCATTTCGTTCTCAGTCTGTTTTGCGGTTGTTTTTAGCTGTCGCCCTCGGATGCACGGTTTTCATCTCGCCAAGCTCAGGAGGAAGAAACAAGAAGAGTGCTCTACTCGAGATACAGCACAAGTCCACGAAAATATCCAGAGCTCGTGGTTCTTTTTTCTATATAAGTCCAATATGGTTGGATTGAAACCTCGATACAGTAGAGCAGTTACTTCCCTAATGGAGCGAGTAAGTTGCGGCTGGACGGAAGCCGGAAGCACCAGATCCCGTACTAGTTGCTACATTACGTAAGGGATAGCAATGCTACCTGTATTGGGAAGTCGTTTCCAAAGAACACCAATTACCACTCTACGAGTACTTGCACTGGAGTACGGCTGCGGTACTGCACGAGTACAATAAGGGTTCAGGAAATTAGTGAAGCGACAGCTAGACTCAGTACCGTGTGACACATGGGCTTGTCCGCTGATACCGAGACAGGATCTGACGGAAACCGCTGAATGAGAGAGAGATATTACAAATGGTTTCTAGCCTCCTTTTCTGCATAAATGTTCGGCCGCTTTGCGCACACAGTATCCAATCATTAGGGGAGGTTCTCGGATGCTCCAACATCCGAGACATGCTTAGCGCAATAGCGAGTTAGTACGGAATTGACATGTTCCGGTCGAATGTGCTGGTGGGGGAGCTCGTTTTCGCTCTACTACCCGTACGCTGTCAAGAATTCAAGACTTTGCCTCTGGCAGCGCCTTAAGCTACTCAGAATAGGATTAGTGGGTGTCAGTATCCCTGTTGCCTACCCGAAACATGGATTGGGGGGAGAGTCTGGAAGGTATGCATCTTAAGCTATGGCCGCAGCTCCCGCACTCAACGCCTGCAGCTGGTTATGAGGCCCGCCGAGGAGGAAACAATTTCTGCAACGATCCGAGAAATAAGTAATTCAAAAAGAAAGATGGCCAAGATACCCCAATGGCCTCGCGGGGGCAGGAGACTCGGGCAAGCTACCTGTACCGGAGTACTCGTACTTAAAAGACTGAGAGACCGTGTTCTATATCCCTTTTGGACGCCACCACCACGGTCGGAATTATTGGTGAGCCCTCATTATAATATTACCCCCTCTCCCTAATATTCCCAAGTTCGATCTTATTTCGACAGTTGCGATTACAGCCCCCCGTCCTGTCCCACGGCGGATTACAGTCTCTCACTCGCAACTCAAAAGATCAATTGCCTACCACAATCCTAATTTCGACCCATAATAAACATTGGGCTCCATCGGAAGGATTTTTGGCCCTTACAGTTCTAGTTTTTTCACATTCCTCGGTCCACAATGGCCGACCTCGGGGAAAACGTAGACGCTGAGAAGGCCGCTCTAGGACTCCAAAATCCTCTACCACCATCAACATCGTCGTCCGAGGAAACAGCTGCATCTAATCACCCAAATATCCATCATGAGGACGTTATCACACCAGAAACCGAGCGAGATGTTGCAGCACTCGCACGCAAGCTCACTACGTTGTCAACTTCACCTGCCGTCGTAGACAACCCATTCAACTCAACCGATCCTCGACTGCAACCAAATTCAGATGAGTTCAATGTCAAAACATGGGTGAAGACTCTCATGCAGATCATATCCCGGGATCCGGAATTGTACCCAAACAGAACTGCTGGTGTCTCATTCCGGAATGTGAGCGCTCATGGATTCGGTAGTCAACAGGACTACCAAAAGGATGTATCAAATTTGTGGATGGAAGCGATAGATGCTTTCAGAAACACTGTGGGTGGTGGTCGGCCTGGAGGGAAGAGAGGGGAGCGCAAGATCCAGATCTTAAGAAATTTTGACGGCTTAGTGAAGAGCGGGGAAATGTTGGTCGTGCTAGGGCGACCTGGAAGGTATGATACGAGATGAACTCCTAATTTGTGTTTTGGGGTAAATGCTGATTGAACGGGGTACTAGTGGATGCACAACGTTCTTAAAGACAATTGCAGGAGAAACACATGGCTTTTATCTGGACAGCGAGACTGATATCGAGTATCAAGGCTAGTAACCTCTCCCATGTGGATACGGGGTACCTAATCTAGTATAGGTATCTCCCATGAGTTGATGCATCATGACTTCCGCGGCGAAGTCATCTATAACGCAGAAACCGATGTGCATTTCCCCCACCTAACCGTAGGAGAAACGCTCTCCTTCGCAGCCCAAACACGTGCCCCACGAAACCGTTTCCCAGGTGTCACTCGCAAGCTGTATGCTGAACACATGTGCGACGTCGCTATGGCCGTATTCGGTATCTCCCACACGGTCAACACCAAAGTTGGTAACGACCTCGTCCGAGGTGTCAGCGGTGGTGAGAGAAAGAGAGTTTCAATTGCGGAAGCAGCATTAAGTGGCAGTCCTTTGCAGTGCTGGGACAACAGTACCAGAGGACTGGACAGTGCCACCGCCCTGGAATTCGTAAAAACTCTGAGAGTCCAATCCGAGATTTCTGGAGCAACAGTTTTGGTTTCTATGTACCAGGCTTCACAGAGCGCTTATGATGTACAATGCCTCTCCTTTATTTCTCAACATCGCATAGCTAATCATCGATCAGCGTTTCGACAAAGTTACTGTTCTCTATGAGGGTCGACAGATTTATTTCGGCAGCACTGAGAATGCTAAGAGGTTCTTCACAGATATGGGATTCCACTGTCCTGAGCGTCAAACGACTGCCGATTTCCTCACATCACTCACATCGCCTAGCGAGCGTCAAGCTAAGCCCGGGTTCGAAAACCGTGTCCCACGTACCCCTGATGAATTCGTTGAGGCGTGGAAGAAGAGCGATGAGTATCAGAAACTGCTCCAGGATATCGCAGCTTATAAAGAGGAGTTTCCACTCCACGGGCCTCAGCTTGGTGCCTTCCAGAAGTCTCGTGCGGCTCAACAAGCCAAGCGGATGTATGTTTCTTCTTCACCTATAATCACTCGTTTGTTTACTAATAGCTCGACGGCAGGAATGTTCGATCCCCCTACACTATTTCGGTGCCCATGCAGATTAAGCTCTGCATTGAGCGCGGTTTCCAGAGGCTCAGAGGAGACATGACGAACTTTTTTTCTACGGTTTTGGGTAATTTCGCCCTCGCACTAATTCTCGGCAGTGTTTTCTACAACCTTAAAGAAGACACATCTTCCTTTTATAGTAGGGGTGCATTGCTTTTCTTTGGGATCCTAATGAACGCTTTCAGCAGTGCCCTAGAGGTGAGTATCTTATTCTCATCGGGGTTACATTCTCCCACTCATAAGAACAGATTTTTACTCTTTACGCCCAACGTCCTATTGTCGAAAAACACTCTCAATATGCACTCTATCATCCCTTCTCCGAGGCCATCGCATCTATGATTTGCGACCTTCCTTCAAAGATGCTTACGTGTATTTCCTTTAATTTGACGCTTTACTTCATGACCAATCTCCGCCGGGAAGTTGATGCCTTCTTCGTTTTCCTTCTGTTCTCTTTTGTCTGCACACTCGCGATGTCCATGATGTTCCGTACGATTGCCGCTGTTTCCAGGACCATTTACCAGGCACTTGCGCCTGCATCTTTATTGATTCTCATGCTTGTCATCTACACCGGTTTCGCTATCCCATTGAGAAACATGGCCGGATTCATGCGCTGGCTTAACTATATAGATCCTATCGGATACGCATTCGAGAGTCTGATGATCAACGAGTTTCACGGCAGAGAACTTCCGTGTGTGGGCTTCATCCCTGAAGGGCCTGGATACGAGGACGCTTCTGGTCTTGAAAGATCTTGCATAACTGCCGGTGCTGTTCCAGGAAGGGCTACGGTCAATGGTGACTCATATATCAATACAGCTTTCGAGTATTACCACTCCCACCTCTGGCGCAATCTTGGCATCATGCTTGCCATCATGCTGTTCTTCCTCACCACCTACTTAATTGCCACAGAGAGGATATCTAGCGCACGCTCAAAGGGTGAAGTCCTTGTCTTCCCCCGTAAGCAGCTCAAGAAAGCGGCTGCTCATGGGGATAGCGAGGCCGGTGCGATCGGTGGTGTTGTTGCTGAAAGTGAAGCTTCCGGGGTTCCCGCGGCGATTCACCAACAGACTGATATCTTCCACTGGAAGGATGTTTGTTACGACATTACGATCAAGGGTGAAGGCAGAAGGATCCTGGATCACGTTGATGGATGGGTCAAGCCCGGAACCCTTACTGCGCTCATGGGTGTCTCTGGAGCTGGTAAAACCACTCTCTTGGATGTCTTGGCTAATCGAGTGACCATGGGTGTTGTGGCCGGCGATATGTTTGTCAATGGCCGTCTACGTGATTCATCATTCCAAAGAAAAACCGGTTACGTCCAACAGCAGGATCTCCATTTGGAAACATCTACGGTCCGCGAGGCACTCACTTTCAGCGCTCTTCTCCGCCAACCCAAAAAGTATAGTGAGCAGGAAAAGCTGAATTATGTCGATGAAGTTATCAAGCTACTAGAAATGGAAGAATATGCTGAGGCAGTCGTTGGTGTTCCTGGCGAAGGTCTTAACGTCGAACAGCGCAAGCGTCTTACCATTGGTGTCGAACTTGCCGCAAAGCCAGAACTCCTCCTTTTCCTGGACGAGCCCACTTCCGGGCTTGACAGTCAGACTGCCTGGTCCATCTGCACCCTTATACGAAAACTTGCAAACAACGGGCAGGCCATCCTCTGTACCATCCATCAACCCTCGGCCCTTCTCATGCAGAACTTTGACCGCCTCTTGTTTCTTGCCAGGGGTGGCAAGACTGTGTACTTTGGCCCCATCGGCGAGAACTCGGAAATTTTGACGGGCTACTTTGAGAAGAATGGATCCCACAAATGCCCTCCAGGGGGTAACCCTGCTGAATGGATGTTGGAAGTCATCGGTGCTGCACCCGGTGCCGTAGCTGCCAAAGACTGGGTAGAAGTATGGAATAATAGCGCTGAGAAGGGCGAGATCCGCGAAGAGCTCGATCGGATGGAACATGACTTAGGTGCTTTGAGCAGAGTCGAGGGAGCTGGTATCGAGGAATTCGCCATGCCCTTCTCCACCCAATTGAGGATATGTCTTTTGAGAATTTTCCAGCAGTACTGGAGAACACCCGTGTACATTTACTCCAAGTGCTTCCTGTGCATATCCACGGTAAGCCCCGTCTCATCCCCTAACTCAACCATGCATTCGCTAACATTTCTCAGGCCGCCTTCATCGGCCTCTCCTTCCTCAACGCCGACGACTCGATCCAAGGTCTCCAGAACCAAATGTTCTCAATATTCATGTTAATGACTCTCTTCGGCACTCTAGTCCAGCAGATAATGCCGAACTTCGTGACCCAGCGCTCTCTCTATGAAGCCCGCGAACGCCCGTCAAAAGCCTACTCCTGGAAAGCCTTCCTGATCTCAAACATCATCGTCGAGCTCCCCTGGCAAACCCTCATGGCGCTTCTCACCTTCCTACTGTGGTACTACCCGATAGGAATGCACAACAACGCCAAGCTCGCCGGCCAACTCCACGAGCGCGGCTTCCTGATGTTCCTGCTGATCTGGGCCTTCTACATGTTCGCTTCAACATTCGCGCACATGGTGATCGCGGGCACTGAAACGGCCGAAGTAGGCAGCAACCTTTCCAACTTGCTCTTCTTACTCTGCCTCGTATTCTGCGGCGTGCTGGCGTCGAAAGACGCCCTCCCCGGATTTTGGGTATTCATGTACTATATATCGCCATTCACATACCTCATCTCGGCGATGTTGTCGGTCGGCGTGGCCAACGCTCCGGTCGCCTGCTCATCCATTGAAATCGTGAAGGTAGTCCCTCCGAATGGGTCCACCTGCGGAAAGTACCTATCCCGGTTCATTAACTCCGCCGGAGGCGTCCTGCATAACCCGGAGTCCACGGGTGAGTGCCGCTACTGCCCGATCACGAGCGCGGACTCGTTCCTGGAGCGGATTGATGCCGATTACGCTGATCGCTGGAGGAATTTCGGTCTAATGCTTGTTTATATTGCCTTTAACCTTGCCGGCGCGGTGTTCATTTATTGGCTCAGTAGAGTGCCAAAAAAGGGGAAAAAACTGTAGATCTCTTTTCCCCTCTAGATTTTTACTTATTCTTCGCTTGAAATACTTTTTTTTTTTCCACCTCCGGGTTTTTGACGCGGTTGTTGTTTATATATACCTCATACATAGTCTGTCTTTTATTTTATTTTTCTCCCCCTCCCCGGGTTTCTAAGTATTAATTACTTTACATGTACGGTATTGGGGGCGACACAGTATATAAAAGGACATTTTGTGTTTCTATTTCCCTTACTATTGCCTCTCGCCTGGCGAGGGTATTACACCGCATTCTTCTTCTGTGGAAATAATTATAATATTACTACCTAAGAGTGTGAATTTGATATGACTGCTGTGGAGAAGGAGTGCTTGATTTTCTTATGATACCACAAGCGCGGCTGTGGGCTTTTATGCTAAACTGAACAACTAAGCGAAGAAAAGAAATATCGGAAACCAGAGGTCGGTAATAACGATAGTGAGTGATTCTTTGTGATGTAAACAATCACAATAATGTAAAGCGAAGGAAGCTCGTAACTTAACGAGTGGCTCGAAAGTCGGACCTGAGCGAGGTCACCGCTAGCCACGAACACTGCATCGTAGCACCCTTCCGTGCACTTATAAACGCACCGGTGCCTGACGGGCCTGCAGCATCAATGCCCTCTCCATCGTCTCCAAATCGTGACTTTCTCAAGGCCAAACTTGCCCTTTTTTTTCATCAATGTTCCGGCTACTATTCTTCCTTTAAACATAAAGGGGTCTCGTCGCTAGCTGGTAGAGACCAACGTTTGCAATTCCTCTTCTCCAAAGGGCACTCCCGCCCTTATAATACCCAATCCAAAACGGCCCCACGGTCACCTATTTATCCATACCAGGCAATACCTCTAAGCTGTAAATTCTCAGGATTTCTTCTTCTGACGCCCCGGCTCCCAACCTACCGTATCCTGTCCATTTACCATTCCCTCCGCCAATGCTAGGAACATAATTCCGAAACAGGGCAGTAGGTATCGTTGGGATAACGCCTGCCCGCATAACATTGTGGTCCCGGCAAACTTGGTTTCCCTGGTTTCCTGGTTCAATCCTCATCCCAGGCAGTAGCGTATTCCATGCCATACTCGTAGAGGGCCATCCATCCAAATACTAACCGCCGCTCATATCTCGGCGGAACCGGGGTCCAACCAATCACTTTGCCAAAACTTACGGATGGTTGGCTATGACTGGCGCTCGCTATAGCTTGGAATACGCTGGCTAATCTGGCTCTCGAGACAGAGCAAAAAAAAAAAAAACTTTCCCTGGAGGGGACGGGAGTGAAGCAATAAGGGTGCTGGAAAAACTGGGGCGTGGTGCAAAAAAGGTCAGGAATCAGATCCTTGTCACTGTGGAGAAAACACTGGCCAACTGAGCATGAAGAGAAAAGAAAAAATTACAGCATCACTCGTAAACCCCTCGCTTTGTCTCAGCACTGGGGATGCGAGTACTGTACGGTAGGTCCAGAGAGGATTTTACAGGGTGGAGTGGGCCTAGGTCGTGGTAGGGAGTTCAAGCCCCCACAACACGGTACAGTACAACACCAGTGCCCGAATATGGCGGGGGAGTTGAGATGGCGTATGGTATTGTGTTTCATCCTAGATCATCCGGACACCCGCAGTATGCTGTTCTCAAATTTTGTACTGTACGAGTACACACACACATTGACCCCGAATGTAAGATTCCAGCGGTCGTTCATCGTCAGAATTTAGGGTAGTTATTAATACACATGGCCCTGTAGGACTAGAGGGAAAGTGTGTCTTCCCCTCATCAGCTCAACTCACTCGCAAGAGATACACCCGTTAGAAGCTACCTCGAAGGCATACCCGCTCAATAGCATTTCTGTCCGTCTCCATAGCGGTGGGTGAGTAAAAAATCTCGATGATCAGGCATATTTGCACCAAGATCCGTCATTTCGAAGGGGTCTTAACCAAACTGCTGCACTGAGACGAGGCAGAAAACTTTCTAAAGAAATTATCCAAGCATGACAGTCACATACGCATGTAAATTTGAACCTCTAAGTCTTTACAGAGTCCTCCGACCCTTCCCCATCATGTTACCCGTCAAATATTGGGACGTTGTTGTGATGCATGGTCAGGGTAATCATCTTGGACAATTCATGATAACGATGATCTTTGCAATGGTGGAAATTAACAAGCTTTCAGGGCCTTCCGTTGGTATAGGGCATGTTTCAAATTAATCTTGATGTGGGTGCTATACAGATCAAGTGACCTAAATCAAGAGTTTGAGAAAAGGAGCTCCATTTTCCGATGAGCCACCAACAATGGAAAAGTGAGATTTTTGCCTGCTTTTGGTGCGGAACGGCCTAATCACCAAGACTTTTGTCGACCTCCTATACCAGACCCCTTCCAATGCCTATGTCCCTCGCAATATAATACTGGTATCATCCACACGGGCCCCTTTTCAGCAACCGGCCGACATATGACTTGAAATGATTTCCCGAACCCTAGGTGAGTACTTCGACATGTGTATCACCGATCCCCCACTCTTATCCTCAAGACCAACATCTCCCCGCTTCAGCAACAGCTGCAGAATCGCTCCACCAGGTTGGTGAGCCGCAAGATGGATCGCCGTCTACTCGAATGGGTCCCGGGAAACGGTATCCACTCTTTCACCCCCAAGCCAAATTCGCACAACAGCCCAATAACCCCGACAAATTGCAACTAGTAAGGGCATCTTGTATTCATCGTCGCAGAAGTTGACACCTATCCTTCCATCACTGAGCAAAACCCTCACAACCCCTCATGTCCCTCCTTGCAGCACAATAAAGCGCCATCCTGCCCAAGATATCGTGTGAATTGACGTTAACATCCTGCCGATTCAGGAGTACTTGCACAATATCTGCCCGTCGATTCGAGGCCGCCCATGAGAGCGGTGTCATACCTAACGAGTCTCGAGTACCCGGGCTGATGCCGCAATCCAGAAGCGCGCGGACGGCGGTCTCGCTCCGCGTCACCACGGCGTCGTCGAGGAGTCTACCCCCCCCCCCCCTACAAAGTCGAGGACGCCCCGATCGGGTAGCCCTCCGACCAAGAGCCCGTCCCCCCGACCGGCAGGGAAGTAGAGCACCTTCTTTCCGTTTGCCTCGGAGCGGTATTTGAACACGTTTTGGACGAGAGAATTGGAGAGGAGGCGTGCATGACGGCGGCTAGTTCTTAGGAGAGAATTCAAGTCGGGTAGCAAGAGCCCACCCGAAACCTAAAAGATAACTTCGTTGGGAAGGCCGTGCAAGGCTATGCTATCTCTAGGCTGTCCCTTCTAGAATCCCGACATGAGCTTACCGGTATAGGAAGTACTGTATGTATGAGGCGAGGCGTGGATGCTGTGAGAGGGAGTGGCAGTCAGTATTTATATGCCATAAGTTAATAAAGTACCCAAAGCTATCGCTTAGTGTAGTCCGTCATGTGCCGCTCCCAGAAGGCCCTGCTTACCGGGAAGGGAAGGCAACAAGATCCAGAGGGTATCCTTCCTTAACTGGTGATAAATTAGGCTACCAGTACTAGTTTCAAGCTAGGATTTCATCCTACCGGTACCGATCTCTTGGACGCAAGGACAGACTAAGAGATGTCATGTTAACAGGGAACACTCCCGAATCCTCAGACGCCTTGGCCGCTATCGTGCGCCGCGCGAGGTCGTAATCTTTACCCGCGAGGTAAAGAACCAACACACCGGGAACCCATAACACAATGCAGGAGATTCCGAATAGCACCACAAAAAACGCACTTCATGCCCTTGTGACAGATCACATGCTTTGGATGAGAAACTCCCAACAATTCTCAATCCAGCGCGTTTCAATTGGGAGGGTAGAAGATCGTGGAATTTCGTCCTTACCGAGACTTGAGTTGAGGTTTATCCCTGATTTATACGAGCACATCCAGCAAGCCATTGAGTTAACAGGCATCAAAGGGTGCCGCAAATCCAGGAAGATTGTATGGTACTCGAGTAAAGGGCATGGGTGGGTAGAAAGGTTAGCTTATCAATAGACTAGACGAAATCGCAAGCAACTCGGACAAGTGCTGATTAATTGATTATCTTTAAGGAAATCACCCCCTCCCCCCCCCCGGTTGCAAGATGTTACCACGTTTCCCAAGTACCAGAGGAAAGTTCCCCGTTCAAGCTTATCCATCCGAGTAAGGGGGTTCCCGAGCGGCTTGTGTTTTCGTCTACTGTAACCTAAAGGGGGCGGCTGGACAGTCTTCATCGGGATTGTGGTACCAACTACCGGTACCGGGATACTACGGCAGTATGATATGATACTCTACCGTACTCGAGTACACTCCTGTATGATGATGGTCCCATGTAAGCGCGTGACCATCCGGCACCGTGATCACAACTCATTCGTTGACTGAATCCTACCCTCCCGCAGTCGAGATATCAGTTGCTTCCCAACGTGTTTGATCCGTTTCTATAAACCCGCGCAATAATTAATGTACAAGCTACGCGACAAACATATTTCCGGAAACACCGCAAGGCCTATCGTGTTCCACGCCCAGATTACTACACTGGCTCCTCCCCCTACCCATTGTCCACTATATATCTCGCAAGGTCGGGGTTGGTACGAATTTTTGGCTTTAGCAAGCACAAGATCCGATGGAGCCTATCAATCGTAGAAGAGTAACACAAGTCGTGAGAGTCATGAAAGTCGTAACAGTCGTTTAACCGAATCTCCGGTGCCACCGCCGAAACCCCCGGATCGATATCATGCCCTCTCACGGGAGCAATGCGCAACTCCCGCGTCTTCTAGCCAGCCGGCCTCCAAAACGTTTATAGCGTCTCACCGCAGTAGCTCTCCCAAATCAGAGCCAACTCCGCTATCCTAGGAGATGCAACATCGCCATTTGATATCACCGGGTGTCCATCGTGTATAATACGGGCCACCGTAGGTTTCCCTCAATTCGTCATCCAGCCTACCATCCTCTAGGAGAATCTCCATCGCCGCTTGATGCCCGCCAGCAGCCGCCGAATGTAACGCGCTCCACCCATACTTGTCCCTTGCGTTAATCTCCACCCTCTCGTCGTCCAACAAAGTCTTCACCACCATCGCGTATCCCTGACTCGCTGCAACCTGAAGCGGTGTCCAACTCTCCACGTCCCGAGCATTGGCATCGGTTCTGGTATCGCCCAACAGAACTTCCACGATCTCATGGTGCCCGCAGCTTGCTGCATACCAAAGAGCCGTCCCGCCCTGGACGTCCTGCGAGTTGATATCGACGTTATCGCGACCGACGAATAATTGGACCATATTTGCTTGCCCCGATTTAGCCGCCTCGACTAACGGCGTTCTCATAGAAGCACCCCTGGTCTCCGGATCGACGCCGCACTCTAATAACACACGAATGACCGTTTCGTTCTCAGTCTTGATCGCTGCGTTAAGCAGACCGGACCGCTCGACGAAATCGAGAATCCCCTTATCTAGAAGCTTTTTGACCATGACTCTGTCCTCGCGCCTTGCTGCCGAGTATAACGCCCTGGCACCGAAGATGTCATTGCGGGACAAGAATACCTTATCGATGAGAGCGTCGGGTAAAAGGGTCGCGAGACGACGATTCGCTCTCAGGAGAGAATATTGGTCCTGTAGGCAGAGGGTTTCGGCTGTATGGAGGATAATTTCGTTCGGTAGGTCAAGGAAGGGCATGCTGGTTCGCCGTATCGCAAGATAAGAGATGGGGTGTTGGGAACGGTAGCTGGTGGTTCGCTTGTGCTGGAGTTGGAGTGAAAACCAGTGCCAAGCTTGTAGCACAAAGCACTACCCTCATATCACGTGAAAACTGAGATCAAATCACAGTATCTCACTCGCAAAGTGTGATGCCTGGCACCCTGGAATCCCATGCGTGATGCTATGCATTTATGGGAAAAGGATAGGCTTTTACGTCTAATGAGGTAGCTTCGCTCCTTAAAAGTGCATGGAAAGGATTCTCCGCGCATCAGGGGCCACCCGGCAACAGATGCGAAGGGATCTAACTAACTTTACCCTTAGAGTAACGTGAGTCGTAGGCAAATGCGATGGACAAAACTTAAAAATGCTGTGCTAGTATGATTTCTGTAAATTACTATCACAGCACTGGTAATTGTTCTCCAATCCCATTAAGGCGTTCTCGCACGGGAATCGCTGCCTTGGTATTTTAAGTGACCAATGAAAACATTCGGAATCACTCTGTTCCGAGCTAGTTGAAATACATTAAAATTCCACGCTTTTGTAGGCTTGGGCCAATACACCTCTTTGTCTTTCGCCTCCAGATTCGCTGAGGCCCGCCAAAACCAGATGGCCTAAGAGATCCAGTTCCTGGTATGAATTGCGTCCGCCCTCTTATCCCTCAAGCTGGACTTTCTCCATGGCAGTTGAGTATGGGAAAACCGAAAAGGGGCTAGAGGCCAACGAGCACAATAGAGACACTCAGCCCCGGGGTTGAAAAGAGTTTTTCAAATGTCAGATTTCGAGTTGATCTGTCAGTTTTGTACGGTATACAAGGGGTTACACACAGGAAACTCTCTCTCGACTTGCATAAACATCTTCCCGGGGCATTACGCCTCTAATATGGTCCATGGCGATGGTATCAGAATCCTCGTAGTAGCATGTTGTGGTGTTGAGAGTACGGATATGGCAGAGCAGAGGAACACAGGTGGGCGTGGAGACATGTACGGGAAATGTATGAGTAGAGGTATACATGTGTATTGCGCTGTGGGTGCGCGGATGAGTGTAAGGCGTTTACCCTCATGTGGTGTCTTCCACCTATGTATTAGATAGCCAGCCATCTTTCACAGAGAAACAACACACTTCTCTCCACCTCCGATCCCATCGACAAACTGTGCACGTCCACCACCTCCATCACATGCAATTATCAAGGGGCTATCATACCGCGTAAAAGGCCCTTCTCTTCTCTCAGTGGTAGGTCACGCTCCAGCATGCGCGGGCGGCTTGCCCATATATCATACGATACGATCCTGTAAATTTATTGAGCCTTCTGTGACAATATATACTGCATATCAAAGTGGCCGGATTTTTCTGCGCGTGCCATCGGTATGCGACCCCGAAAACGGGTTTATCAAAGTAGCTTTTTCCATACTGAATCGCCCGAGCTACAGGTTGAATGGTAGCTCCTCCTCCTTGCCTATTTACATTCTCGCCATGCGATTTTTGGTCGCCTCTAGCTCGACTTTGCTGATGGCCCTCAACAACCCTCACCTTATCCAGGCTGAGCCTTGCTTCTATCCTTAGCATATTCTGGCACCACCCGTTTAGCGCCCGAGCACACTAGCAGGCATTATCGATGAGTTGTCGGGCGATGATCGTAAAAGACAGGAGACATCAGTCGTCGGCAGTGAGAGTTTGGGAATGAGACTAGCACTCTGCTACTAAAATAGGTAATCCTCAGCTAACGTTACTGTACGTGGTTCGTCATCCGAGACATCGGATCTTGGCAAAAAATATGCTTAGGGAATACCGTACCCGTATCACAATGGATCTCGGCCCCCGCGGTTTAATCCACTTTCGTTCGTCGAAAACTCCTCAGAAATTGTTGTTCAGGCTCAATCATAGCCTCGGAGCTCGTTACCAAAAGAAAGTGTCCGGTGGGTAGTAGTTTTATCCCCTCGACTGCGGCCTCGTTGGCTGCCGGGCAAATAATATATTAGCGTGCTAAGGACGTGCCTCGGGTCTCTTCGCTTTTAGTGAAAGGAATTTTTTCAGCAACGGTGGGTCTAACGGTGGACACACTGCCGGTACTGTGCTCGAGTACAGATTATGCGGATAAGTGAACATTGCTTCAGGTTCTGTGCCGTCGCCATCTAGTTTGCTATCTTGGCACAACGATACCCGGTGGACTCTTGACAAAACCATCGCCAGCAAAATCCTGAGAGAAAACAGCGGCATCCCGCTCCAGTGTTGAAAATTGTTTATCCAAGTTTTTCTGGTCGAAAGACTTTGGCGTGTAACGCGTTTTCGCAAACAAAGCTGATAGATCAAGTCCAAACTTGGCACCCGAAAAACACTTTCCCAACCCCGGGGCTGAAAGCCTCTATTCGAGAGCTGCCTTTCAGGCTCGTATTAACGTTACCATTAGCTCTCATGCACTTCAAACAGCCCACAGGCAGACATATCAAATGCCTTTTGCGGACACCACCCTTGGGCTCCGCGGACAAGAACTATTGAAGTGGATATTTCACAGGAGCCGACGGCCCATTTCAGCCGTGGAGTCCACAATACTAGCCTTGTCATAACCTTACTGCATTTCAAAAACGTCAGTGCGTGGTGGGCTTTCACCGTCCACTTGTTAGTACAAGGGCACAAGTTCTCGGACTCCTAGCGAACCCAGTCCGATGGACCAACGGGCGCGGTAGGGATAACGTAACAGAAACTCATAATCCCTCGGAGGGAAACAAACGTTAGGAAAAACTCTGGGTAGAACCCCTCCTCCACTATGCACGAGCACAAACGGCCCAAGTTTGCAATCTCATTATCCCACCGAGTGACATATCATGAGAACCTAAACCGGGCGAACCCGCAAAAACCAAAGGGGGTCGAGAAGAAAACCAAGTAGACTACCCCATTCCGGGGCCGCACTTGCATCCTGAGATTTTGATTCCGAGATCTTGGCCCGGTTGCCGGATTGTGCTGTTGCCGTACTGTGCCGTACTTCTGCGGTAATCGACCTACGAGTAATAGTCTACCGGTAATTCCCTCTGTCCAATTCCGTGGACTGCGAGTAACATCGGCCAAGTGTTGGATAAGAGAGGGAGTTAATTTGTACATTTCCCTGTGGAGGGAAGCAAGCCTGTGAGTACAGAGAAGTGGGGTTCAATACCGACACTTTTGAATTTTTTACCGGAGTGTATGGTGCGGCGCCCAGCGATTTTACTGCCGTAGTTTACCCATTATATCGTGAACCAATTGGTTGTGTCGAGGCTGCATTGCACGTTTTTCGTACTCGGGTTTTTTGAAGCATTTTAGCAGACCGTCCGTCATCGCATGGGCGTACGGTAATTTGATGAAGGTGAATGGAGAGCACGGATGAATGAAGCAACACAAGTGCGATGAAATGCAAGAAAGTGAGGAAGGATGATGAAAGAATGGATGATGGTGAAATCTAACGATGGACTGATGGTCGAAACCTCGCCTCTAGCTAAGGACAGAATGGGAGATATATATCTCCTAAGCAACCAGAACTCTAGAACTCCAAGGAAACACCACAAACACAAAAGAACTACTCATCCTGACAAACCATGATCCTCCGTGCTCCACAACAATCTAAAGCTCTCATGAACCTCTAACAAAGAACCAGATGCCTAGAGGCATCAGGCGTGAAAGAAACCAAACCACATCACCAATGCCCTATGGCAACAGGAAACATCATCAACAAGAAACCCAACAGCTAAGCCGTAGAAGCGTGAACCATCTATCCGCATAACAACCAACTCACATGCCCGATAGGCACTCCAACATAATTTACATACCAAAAACCCGAATCAACCATGATCCGGTGTTGTACCGGTAAAAACATCCCAACTATAGGATTTGGGCGAGTCGAAAATCTCGGCTGGCAGGGGCACGACTAAGGATAGACATCCGATATCCCAGAGAGCTGAGCCCCGCCCGCCTTCCAAGATTGGGTGAGGGACCTACAGTAAGGGTTCTATTTCGAGTTTTCTTCATGATATCAACTCTGTTAGTACGGGTACACAGCCAACAACAATGTCGTAGTGCACTACGGTATTCAAGGTAGAGAGAGGAATTGGAAAATCGAGCTGAGTAAGGTGGTGATGTCAAGGAGTCAGGTGCAGTGAAGTTGTCCAGCTGTTGGGTTGTTAACCTTCCCGCTCCCCAGAACAGAAGAGTCTATACTATCCTGGACGAAACCAGAAGCCACCCGGATGGCCAAGCCTGAACAGGAAAGTTTCCTATGGTAAGCTTGAAATCAATTAACTACTGTAGCACTTGGCTGAGTGAGGTGGGGAACGCCCGAGTAGCCCGCGGTTTCGTCTATCTGACTGGATTGATGCTAAGATAGTCATCTCTAACTGGACATTATGTTACGGTAGATCCTTTCTCAAACATCTTTTTTATCGGTAAGTTACCGGATTCAGCATGACCTTGAGGAAGGTAGACAAGGCTATCGACCGTGACACCGGTGATGCGCGAATTCAGGAGCTCCAGTGCTGCAGGAACGTTGGGGCTGAGTTCTTGCATAAACGGCTTAGGTAACGTGGTGTATCTGACTGGGAAGCGGACCAGACGGGGATGTGAATCGGCAAAAACACACCATAGTCCCCAAATCCAGGAGCCTCAATTGGCGCCCAACAGCGGGAAGAGGAAATTCAGAAGAGTGAGAGATACCGGTATTCCTGACAGCAGAATATCTGGGATATTCCCCCTCTTGGGCTGTATTTCGGGGTTTTGCTTTTGGCGAGAATCCTGCAGTGAGGATTTGGGCAAATGTCACGTACAGGAAGGCTTCACTTGCGCGTCTGGCCCTCTTCCTGGTCCAATACGTTACCGGATGATGTCTGATGCCATTGACAGCTGCACGTTACCCTTGAATTGAGCGGATACTTGGAACACCGTGGGATACGGCAGTGACCCCGGGTGGTGTCATGGAATAACCTTGATCTTACGGGAGAAAAAACCTAATTTAACATTCAGCCAAGGATGGGGGTATGGGGCTTATCGAAAATTTGAGGGGTGAGGGTGAAGGATCAACCTGATTACCGGTATGATACCGCATTTTGAATCTTGTAGAAAACAGTTTGGTCCAATTGATGGTAATTTACGGTACTACAGTTCACTTGGTAACGTCATAGAAGAGGAGAATGGATTATTTCGCCACCATCGATCCACGGATTGTCATCCCCACCTCGAGATATACGGTAGAGCAAAGAACGCTACCTTGCTGCACTGGTATTAAGGGAGAGACGAGGAAGGGTGAATCCGAACGGGATACGGTAGCAGATACGATCAGCGACTCAAGGTCTTGTGAAGTGCCACTGAAACATGGACGGCGTGCCCCGGCCAACAATTAGGCTACCGGTGGGGTACAGTACCCGAGGATGATACTTCCCGGTTAAGGAAGCGACGATGCTGGTACCGGATTTACTCGTACCGCAACGTGCTTCTCATACTCGAGTAGTTGGACTAGGATTAACATTCCAGACAATGTTTAAAGAAAGCAATGACACAAAATCTCAAGGCGAGCTCATGTGTGATGGTTCAGGTACCGTAGTTCCTCAAATGCGCTTTATACAGTGGTGTACTGTATGAGTACTTGAACACTCCGTCGTAACTTGGATCTCCTTCTGTTGCCGGTATGATCCACGGTAGAACCTACAAAGTAATCTGGCGGGAAGCAGTTTATCGGCAAAGTTACAGCGGAAGCCACCGGCACTCGTGCCTGCAGAACACTCAATGGGATGGAAACAGGTCAGATTCACAACGAGGGTAGAACCTACGGTGCTGGTACAAGACGGGTATCGGTACCGGTACTGTAAAATGAACCGGCAACAGCTGGCAGTGCTGTTTGATATATACAATGTCCTAGTATCATACTCGAGTACAATTGGTTCTAAACCCTTGCCCCCCCCAATCTCATCCTCATCCTCCCCGTCCTTCCCCTCTTCTCCTTCCTCCCCTCTCCTTAGGTCTGCTGCATCCCTTCGACCTGGTCGGCCGCCGCAGCCAAGGCCCAAAGCCTCATTCCTTACAGGTATGATGCAAGGGCGAGAAGGACGAGAAGGATAAATGAGGATAATACGTATTGAAGACTACTGTACTGTGCTGTAGTACGGTAATTATCTCCGCTCTATTCTGAGCTTCTTACTCTATCAGCACTCGCACGTGCCCTGTACCGTGCCCCTATCCCCTTCTTCGATAAACCTTCCTCACCTATTTTTGAAACTGCAGACCTCACTTCCGCATCTTGGGCGTACTGTACAGTAAATTACCTGCAAGGTCGGGTTTTTTATTTTTACCGGCACACATTTATTATCTTGTGTCTGCCCTTCCCGCACTTTCGTTCTACGGTACGAGTATGGTACGGTACAAGTATGATACACCTTCTTTCCTTTTTTTTTCTTTTCCTTTTTTTCTTTTCTTATTCCTTTTCTGCACGTTGTGTTGTGCAGCCAGCTTAATCGTGTAGCTTTAGCACCTGAGACATAGTTCGCTGGTTCCGCCAGCCAGCTAACTAGCCAGCCTTCGCGATTTTCCTCTGCTCGTAAGATATTTCAACGGGGCACGCTTGGGATAAAGGAGAGAATTAATACCGGTATCCCCCCCTTCGTGTTCTTCTCCCGAATTATCACGAGTTGGCGGGGTACACCATCTCCTGGCTTGATCTTATCCAAGACCATTGTTTCCGAAATAACCTTCGCCATGCGGTTGCCGACAAGTTCCCAAGTTTTCTTCACAGCGGCTTCGGTCCTGTCAGGTACGGCAACTAACTCTACTTGGGATCTAATAGGATTTGAGCTAACGATTGTAAATGCAGCCGTACAAGCTGCTCCTGGCCCAACTCCCCTCGCCGCAGAAGTCGATAATCTAGTTACACGCGCCTTCTCAGATTCCCCCAGCGGCGGGTATGCTCCTGGGAGAGCGAGCTGCCCGTCCGGCCCATTGGTCCGCAACGCGAATGACATCTCGTCTGGAGAGAAGGACTTCCTCAAGAAGCGACAGCCTATAACGGATAAAGCTTTAACCGACTTTCTCAATCGTGCCTCGATGGTGGATTTTGATGTGAAGGCGTTCATGAGTAGCTATTCGCCCACCATCGGCATCGCGTTTTCCGGGGGAGGTTACAGGGCGATGTTGTCCGGTGGTGGACAATTCAAAGCGATGGACAGCCGAACTCCGGGCTCTACTGCCGTGGGAAACATTGGTGGGCTGTTGCAGAGTGCGAAGTATGTTGCGGGGTTGTCGGGCGGGAGTTGGTTGTTAGGAAGTGTGGTGATTAACAACTTCACCACTATCGACAGGTTACAAAAGGCAGGGAACGTGTGGGATTTTGAGAACAGCATTCTGGCTCCGGAAGGGGCACTGCATATTGTGGACACTACTCTCTACTACAACGACCTTAACCGGGAGGTGCAGGATAAGGAGAAAGCTGGGTTTGATGTCAGCTTGACAGACTATTGGTCGCGTGCGATTTCTCGCCAGTTTGTCAACTACACCGATGGAGGACCGGGAGTAACTTACTCCTCGATAGCGAAGTCGGATCAGTACAAGAACGCTGAGATGCCTTTTCCCATCATTGTTGCCGATGGTAGGAATCCTGGGGAGGAGATTATCTCCAGCAATGCCACAGTCTACGAGTACAACCCATTGGAGTTTGGATCCTTTGATCCTACTCTATATGCCTTTGCCCCCATCGAGTATATAGGATCAAACGTCACCAACGGTGTTCCGAATGAGACTGGTGTATGCGCTCGGGGCTTCGACAACGTTGGATTTGTGATGGGAACATCTTCGTCCTTGTTCAACATCTTGATCACTCAGCTTGACTCCGTTGGCTTGACTGGTGTTCTGAAGAAGCTCGTTGAAACTACTCTGACCGCAATCTCCGCTGCCGATAACGATATCGCAGACTATTCACCGAATCCTTTCTTCGGTGTCAACCCCGGAATCAACCCATCCGCGAACACCACAGATCTGACGCTTGTTGACGGTGGCCTGGATGGCCAGAATATCCCCCTCCACCCACTCATCCAACCGACCCGCAAGGTCGATGTTATTTTCGCAATGGACAACTCTGCCGACACCGTCAGAAAGAACGGGGAGCTATCCAACTGGCCCAATGGCACAGCCATCATTGCCACATACGAGCGTGCGATCAAGGGATCCCAAAACAACGGAACCCTTTTCCCTTCCGTCCCGGACGTCAATACCTTCATCAACCTTGGCCTCAACAACCGCCCAACATTCTTCGGCTGCGACGCTAGAAACATAACCTCGGACACGAACAAGTTCCCTCCGTTGGTAGTCTACATCCCCAATTCGCCCTACACCTTCAACTCCAATGTCAGCACCAACGAGATGACATACTCAGCGTCTGAACGCGACCTAATGATTGAAAATGGGTACAACATCGTGACCCGCGGCAACTCCTCCTTCGACCAGAACTGGCCCGCCTGCGTCGGCTGCGCCATCGTTCGCCGCGAGCAGGAGCGCAAGGGGGAGACGCAGACGGCGCAGTGCCAAAAGTGCTTCAAGGACTACTGCTGGGACGGAACGCGTAACAGCGCTGTACCGAACGATTACAACCCCACGGCGCTCGTCTCGGCCAAGAGCGCAGCCGCAAATGGAGCGAGGAGCTGGGGAACAGCTATTATTGCGTTGTTATCTGGATTGGTGAGTGCTGCGTTGCTTTTGTAATGAACCAATCCACAAACCACCTGTTCCTCTCTTTCTCCAGTCGACCAATCCACCGACCTGTCTCCCTCTCCATCTCTCTTTATATATATGTCTATATCTCCTTCTTGGAATCTCCCGGATCATGGAGTTTGTCTGGGTTTTGTGGGAAAACATCGTCCCGTCTAGTTTCTTTCTTTCCTTCTTGCATTCGGAGTTTGTATTTTGGAGCGGAGGAGAAGGGGAACCCTGGGTCATTCATGCATAGTTTCAATTCTTACTTTTATTCATCTTGGTATAGTGATCATTGGCTGTCACGCCTTCGCTTTGTCTACCCTTCCTTACTCCCCCAAAACTTTTTCTTCTTCTTCCTTCTAGAAGGGCCTTTTTGTACAACTCCTTTATTTCTTCTGTCCTTTTTTCCCCTATATTGTATTTTATTCCCTATTACATACCTTCCTTTGGCTCTTGTATTTCTCGATTTCTTGGGGAGAGAATGCTTGCTTGTGGGGTTAACTGTAGAAGTTTTTGTTTTGTTTTGTTTTGTTTTCCCCTTGTTCAATGCGCTATCATACCGTTAGCAGGGGAGGAAGAAGAGATAGGACCGAATTCTCAGGGGTCAAATGCGTGTATGTACCCGAGTACAGTACTTTGTATCATGGTCTACCGTACCGGTAATCCAGTCGTCGTCGCTGCGAGTACTTGTGCAGTACAGTACTGTATTATCGTAGGTCATCGCGCTTACCGTAACCCATCCCACCTAGCCGCATCCCCGAAATTGACCTATTGGTACTCAGTACCGTAACCCTTACCACCGCTACCGTGCCGTCAGTACGGCATCCTGTGCTTTCTGACGCTCCCGAATGGTATAGGTTATGCCCCCCTACCTCAACTACCGGTATTGCTCACGGCATGGTTCCTGGTATCTTGTGGTCTGTGCAGACTCCAAGGAACGGATGGGGTACGGGGGAGGGCTTCGCGGAGGAGTTGATTACAGCTGTCCCATCGTGCAGTGGGTGCTATGGGGGTGATGTGGCGAGTTGCAGTGGCTCAAATTGCTCGCGTTTCACCTACTCTAGAGAAGGGGATACAGTATGTGGAGTGCTGGTAGTAATAGTTTGGTGAAAAGTGCTGCGCGTGATTTGAGGCCTTGGGCAGGGGAGGGCAGGGGATGGATGGGCTATTTGGGTATGAATTGGCTACTCTGGCTCTGGAGCTGGAAAGTGGTGAGTGATTGTTTATGAATTCGCTTGCATGCTTGCTTACTGGTGGGATCACTAGATGGTATTATCCTACGGTAGCAGTCGGCGTTTATGATGCACGGCATTGTAGGATTAGTGTTCGCTACACAATAGCTTGAGTTTTGGTTATGCGTATCCTGTCATAAGAGGGTTCGCAACCTGGGATACCGGTACCTGTGTTCGAGTATTGGAAGACCATCACGAGTGCATATTCTAGGATGACATGGTGACAATCCCCCACCGGGTTATTACTTGTACGAGTACCGTACAGTGCTGTGCTAGGATAATGCGTACGTGTTCGCAGCCCGTCTCGCAGCCCTTGAAACATATCATCTCCCTAGCTTAACGCGCACAGTTGAGACAACCAGGCTTATGAAGGCTTGACCACAGACTCTTTCACACTGTATCAGGAAGGCCCAACTCATCAACAATTTAAAACCAGAGGTACCAAAGCTCTAAGCCCACTACGGTACGTTTGTCGCGGCGAATTGCGAAGCGTCAAGGTAAAGGAATTAAAAAAAAAAAGGGAAAAAGGAACAGTGAAATAACCAAAAAAACAGGGGAACCTCCCCTTTACCCTCCTGCTACTTGTAGATTCCCTAAGAGTTCCCTAAAAAGAAAAGAGTATGATATAAACGTGAACAAGATCTATGACCGCTTCTTGGGGCCACCCTTGGGCTTCGGGCTCTTCCCACCAGCATAGAACTTCTTGCTGGGAGTATTCGGGCTCTTTCCACCCTTCTTACCGGAGTTCCAGTAGTACATCATCTGTGCAGCGAGGACTGCGTTGAGAGCGGCGCCGCCAAGGAATCCCCAGAGGATGAGAGGGTCGTTGACCTCCGAGAGTGTGGTGAATACTCTAGCGAGAGATCCAAAGAGGTAGTTGAAGACCTGTGATTTCCGTTTATCAGTTTGAAATCCGCTCAACAAGTCACATGTAGGGAAGAACATACGGCGAAAGCAGACAACTGCCCGGTACTCTTCTGCCTCGCAACCTCGACAATTTGTGGCACCTTACTGGCCAGCCCCAACGGGATCGTGGCAGCTTGAAGATACACCATGACGTCCGGACTCACGATCCCCTCATTGAACAAGGCATACCCCGCCACCGCTAGCACTGCCACCCAAATAGCACCCCACCCGCCCTTCCCAGAGAACTGCAGAATGAGTGTCGAGATGAGCACGTTCTGTACGGCTATCATGGCGATCTCTCCATACGTTGAGAACGGATTTCCGGAACGGAAGTTGTATGCTAGCGTGCAGAGGAACGCCGTCGTCTCGAGGAGATATGAGAGGAAGGAGAGGCCCTTGGACGACCGTGATGAGAGGAGTTTTATTAATTGAGGGACTTTAATGATCGTTGAAAGCGTGACGATGCCCAGGCCGACTGCTTTGGAGATGGCGTATTGCACGCATTGTGGATTTGATGCTGGATCGAAGTCACGAATTAGGTTGTTGTAGCAAACCGGCGTGAGGAGGTTTGAGAGCGGTTCTTGAAGGGATGATGGGAGGGTGGAGGTGTAGGGGGTTATGTAGGGACGAATTGCGGAGAAGACGGGCCCTTCAAGGGATTGGAGAATAGAGTCCATGATTGCGGTTGCGCTAGTTTTGGGTGAGAAGGGGGACGGGGAGAGCGAAGAATGGGAAGGAGGCGGGTTAAAGTTGACAACGATGTTAGGGCGGGAGGGGGTGATATCGTGATGAAATGTGTTCAGAAGGATTGGAAAATTCTCCCTATGCTCGTTTGGGTTACTAAGCCTCAAAGCACTGGGAGTTAATAAAGCTTGGCGTGGACCGTGCGCGCCAGCCAATATCAGGGTATCTAATGAGTTGGTGATAACGAAAATGTTGGATTCGCCGTCAGTCCTTGTTGGATGCTGGGGGTTGGCGCCGGTGAGTTGGTTGGAGATTCTGTCATGAGCAAAGATTTATCCCTTCGGATCCTCTTGTGGATCTCTAGGCCACTAAGGCGAAGCCCACTTATTTCCCCCCGGAAGACACAAATGCTCTCTCCGATGGACACCGTCCTCCTCACAGCATGGACACGGTAGAATGTAGGGACGTGTATCACTAACTGCCGTGGGTGTTATCGTAACAGGTGAACTCCGTTCTTTAAAGGATAAACACCCGCATTACTGTACTTTGTAGAATACAAGAAATCCCAGGATAGAGCCTCCACAGATGCAGTAGAGCCTGTCAATCCTATCATCTCTTCATCGGGCCGGTGCCAGGCATGGCAGCCATGGGCAATGCCGGCTGATCCGCTGGCGCAACACCCGTCTCCATAAACCTCAGAATAGCCTCCAACTTCAAGCCCGGTATAGCCTCCTCCTTTTCCTGCTTTTCTTCACTGATTCCCGTCTCGATTCCCTCGGTGCCGGCTTCCCGCTCTTCCAGGCTGTAGATATCATCATACCAATTCCTCTCTTCCTGCTGTTCCTGAACAATTTCCCTTGCCCTATCCCATAGGTCGTCATTATTAACGGTCGGGGCGTTGAGGGCTTTGAGGGTCCAATCCTGGACCGTTGAGTTGAGCTTTTTGTTGAGAAGCGTGGATAGTAAGAGTTCCTGACTGTTTGCAGGGAAACTCGGCAGTGGGTAAGAGACCAGCGCAGAAGCGTTTACTTGAGGTGGGGGGAACTGCTGGACAAGCGCGTGGGAGAGGGAATCTAGTGTTGAGGATAGGACGTTAAAGTGGGATTGAAGAGTTTGCCTGCGTGTATGGTAAAGTCAATAGCCGAAAATTAACCCTTTGATGAAATAATGAGCGATGAGGTGGGGGAGGAGGTCCTACCAAGGAGGGAGCTGCTCAGTGCGAAGGGCATTGCTGAATGCAGTGAGCGCAGAGACTAATTGATCGAAGCGAGCACGTGTAGACTCTAGCGATCTTTGGGGGTTCTCCATCGCACTGTGATGGGTTTGGAGGGCAGAAGGAAGAGGAGGAGCGGTGGCAATGGTGGTGATAGTGGTGGAATTGGAGGTGTGAGTGGATGGGCTACCTTGGGTATGATACGCAAGTCTGCTGCGACCCGTAGCTTTCCTTAGACCTTACCTTTCACTAAGGCTCGGCCACTCACATGCCCGCCTGCCCGCTGGGTTCACTCGGAACCCTAAGTGCTTGTAGTCTACCAGCCCCGTCTCGCAGCGAATTCCCTGTCTTTCTCAACCAAGGGTCGGGACCTGACCTGATCGGAGTCATCAGAATCTTTATCTCTACGCACATTTCACATCACGCCCCTTTTCCCCCTCCTCTCTCTTGGTCTGAGACAAAAAGGATTGCCCATTGACCCGGCTGATCATTAAGCTTCCCCCACACGCACGCCGATACAAAAACAACCTTCTCTCCTCTCCAACCATCCAACCACCACACCACGGCAAATGACCTCAAAGGGGCCCTCCGCCTCGGCCCCAGACATTGATATCCTCCCACCCAACTTACAAATACATCCGCCGCTGGTCCCAGAACAACAGCTCCCGGGTCCAAACTCCTCTGAGGAATCCCGGAACCTGATCACAGCAAACTTTGCGCACTTCCGAGATGACCCTTTCTCATTCCTTCGTGAGATCTCCCTTCACTACAGCGGCACCGGGTGGCGTGCATATGACGAACCGATTGGCCAGAAGATATTCTACAAGGGCTTCAGCGATGAGATGAAAGCGCGAGTACTAGATAGCGGGACGTTGAAGGTCAAGTTGCAGGAGCTAGCGAGTCGGAGGGTTGTGGTAGAGGATGGAATGGGATTGTTCAGCGGGGAGAAGGGGCGGCGGAAGAGGTTACAGGAGGTAGAGAAGCAATTAAACGAGGTCGCAGAAGAAATAGTCGAGGGGATGATTTGCAAGTTTGAGAGCAAAAGATTTATCAGGGTGCGGTGCCCGGGCTCAGCTGGCATTGCTACAAAACTCAACTGACATGGTATATTTTAGGGAGCATACTTTATCTGCGTGCAACTCCTAGCAAGGTCCTACCACCGTGGAATCCACGTCTCGACACTAGAGATCCAGAACCTCCGAGAAACCGCCAAATTGGCGGCGGCGCGCAAGCAGTCGCTGATCTTCCTCCCATGCCATCGTTCCCACATAGACTACGTCTCGCTACAGGTGATCTGCTACCGGCTCGGTCTGACTCTTCCGGTAGTAGTAGCGGGGGACAACCTCAATTTTCCCCTTGTTGGTCCATTTCTCCAACATGCGGGGGCAATGTTCATAAGGCGTTCATTCAGCGGCGACGAGGTATACACCGCTACAGTCCAAGCATACGTTGATGCACTACTATCTGGCGGGTACAACTTTGAGTGCTTCATCGAAGGCGGTCGTTCAAGGACCGGCAAGCTACTCGCGCCAAAATTCGGCATCCTCAGTTTCATCTTGGACTCAATTCTGAGTGGCAGGGTTCGGGACGCTTGGATTATTCCCGTCTCAACGCAATACGACAAAGTTATTGAGACAGAGGCCTATGTCAGTGAGCTATTAGGAATCCCAAAAGTTAGGGAAAATCTTTGGGGTTTTCTTAACAGTAGCAAGTTCCTCAACCTCAATATGGGTAGGGTAGACGTTCGTTTCCACGAGCCCTGGAGTCTGCGCAGCTTTGTCGAGAGCCAGATAGACAAGATTGGGGCCGGGGGCGCAATAGGCGTAAGCCTAACCCCCCAACAAATCAGCCCGGGAGATGCCAACCTTGGTCAAAAATCCGTAGATAGAGCTGCCCCCGAAGTCCGCCTCAAAGTCATACGAAGTCTAGGGTATAGAGTCCTTGGTGACATAAACCGCGTATCGGTTGTCATGCCCACTTCCCTGATCGGCACAATTCTGTTGACCCTACGCGGTCGGGGAGTTGGTAAATCCGAGCTGGTCCGACGGATTGAATGGCTGCGCACAAGGATCCGAGCAAAGGGTGGTAGAGTAGCTCATTTCGGCATTGCGGAGACCGAAACCGTTGTCGAACGTGGTTTGGAGGTTCTTGGGGAACTGGTCGGTCGGGTGGATGGCCTGGCGGAAGAAACCTTCTTCGCCGTGGACCGGTTTCAATTAAGCTTCTACAGAAACATGGTTATCCACCTCTTCATCAGCGAGACCATCGTTGCAGCAGCAATGTACACGAGGATCAAGCAGGGTGGTGGACCAGCCAACCAGCGGGTAGAATACCGAACCCTGCTGGACCAGGTTTCCTTCCTATCGCAGCTATTCCGCGGGGAATTTGTCTTCCCTACCGAAGGCCTCATAGCGAATCTCGACAAGACCCTTGCAAGCCTGGCAGCAGATAACGTAATCACAGTAACTAGCAATTCTGATGGCACAATTGGATACGTCGAGCTCTCGAGCGCGGAACGCAAATGCGGTCGGGAGAACTTTGACTTTTACTGCTTTCTCATATGGCCCTTTATTGAGGGTAGTTGGCTCGCGGGAGTCGCGATAATGGGTCTTATCCCGCAGAAGGGGATGGAAGAAGTATGGGTGGAACTACGTGAGGCCCAGGACATGGCGCAACTAGTACCCCCCCGCCCCTCCTCCCCCTTTATTTCTCATAACTAACCTCCCAAAGATGGGAAAAACCCTCTACCACCAAGGGGATATCTCGTACTTCGAAGCTGTCAACAAGGAAACGCTGAAGAACGCCTTCCAGCGTTTCCAGGAAGAAGGCATAATCACGATCCGGAAATCCAAATCCGGCCGCACCCCGCCGCTAATGCGCGTCTCGCCGGACTGGGTCGCGAATGATCGGCTGTGGGAATTCGTCGAGAAGATCGCTATATCCCGGCGCGAGGGCAAGAACCGGCGCGACAACGAGAGCGTCAGCTCCCGCGTCCTGAGGCTGGCGGAGAAGTGCGGGCACGACCTATTCGAGAGGGGCGGCATCAGGGATGGGGTCGAAAATGCGGAGGGGAAGGCGGAGGTGGAGGAGATGGAGATGGAGATCAGCAAGCCCAGGAGGGCGGGTGGGGTGAGGCTGTAGGGTTGGGTGCAGTATGGTATTGTGGATTTGATACCTGTGGGGGGGTTATTTTATATTTTACCCTTTCTGAGGAGAAGGGAGGAACGGGAGAAGGACATGTATCTTATATTTTAGAACCCAAGATTATAGGTATGATAACTTGTGTATTATAATAATAATAATACTTTGTATACCGGTACACACACACCATGGCTCGTGGGGCGGGGTTGAATGCCTACTGTGCCGGTAGAGTGCTCGAGTACTTGTGCGGTGTGATATAGTGGTTTAGTTAATGCGTACCCTATTGGTGGTCTAATCCCGGTACGGGCATACAGTAGCACGCTACTCCCGGTTGAACGACCTCTGTGAGCACGACTGCCGCCCGTATGTATGAGATACCGTACAGTATTGTATACGAGTACTCTGAAATTCAGCTTTCTTCTTCCTGTACTCGAGTATTGGATCTCAGGTTCGGGTCATGCGACACAAACATCGTTCGATTTCGAGTAGGGTCCTCGAGTGCTCGAGTAACTTACCGCCTTGGAGTGGCTGGGCTGATGAACTGCGCGTCTGGTATGTGATAGATAGCGACCAGTCACATCCCTACTCATCACTTTTAGAGATGACTTCCGGGTTCGGCCTCTTCCGGATCCAATACCGGTACTACGGATACAAGTACGAATACGAGTAAGTCATCACTCAGCAGTTATAGATGTGATATCACAGATATTTCCTTGAAGCACATTGACAGGAGTTGCTAAGTTAGCGTGATTGTAGGAGACATTGAAATTAGGACCGTTCCGTCGTCCATCCATCTTCTCTTTTTATCTGCGGCGCACAGGGTTTACACCCCGGGAGGATGGTGCCCACAAAGGTGCAACCGGCCGTACTGTTGGTAACTTACGGAATTCCTATGAGATTCCTCATGCTACAGGATGGGTCTACTTATCGTCTACTGGTATGCCATGCGGGATACTAGCAGGTCTGAGCCTACCATTTCAGGTGAAGGTATCACGAGGCAATCATGAAATCGAATCACCAAAGCTTACCGTCTCATATGCTCACATGAATGTGTTACAAGTACAATGTTATTGCGCTCGAAATGAGAGTAAATGTAATGGAGACCGTGAACTTGACTGGAAAAAGAGAGGATCCGTTTAGTTTACAGTAGCTTATACCTGATCTCCCATGACTCTGTTTTAAAAGAGTTAAGCAGCAGTGGTCTTCTCCTTGGGGAGAGGCGTGAATCGCAAGTATGGCTTAACGATGCGGAAGTCAGGAAAGAGGGTCTGGGGGTTGTTAGCAACCACCAGCATCGAGGAGTATATTGGGATATACCTTGGCCTCCTCATTAGTGACGGAGGGGTGGACAATAACATCGTCTCCAGGAACCCAGTTGATAGGAGTGGTAATACTGTTTCCGTTAATTTATTTCTCTCCAGAAGCCAGAGGTAAAGGAACAATCACCGGTGCTTGTCACCAGTCTGTAGGGAGTCGACGACACGGAGAACCTCAGCTGCGTTGCGCCCAGTAGAGGCAGGGTATGACATGATAAGACGGATAGTCTTCTTTGGGTCGATAATGAAGACAGAGCGAATAGTGAAAGCGATCCCCTTGGAGTCAACATTGGTAGTGTCTTGGTAATCAATCCTGCCGAGATCAGATTTAGCTTTTTATCCTTGTTGGCTCTGTTGCCTATTTCACTGGGGAACAAACATGTCGTAAGCATGTGCAATCTTCCTCTCCTTGTCCCCAATAATAGGGAATTTGAGGCTGCATGAAGAGACCTCATCGATATCCTTGATCCACTTCCCGTGAGACTCGATGGTGTTTGCGGAAAGGCCAATGAGCTTGACACCACGCTTGGTGAATTCGGGCTCGAGCTTAGCGAAGGCTCCCAACTCGGTGGTGCAAACGGGGGTAAAGTCTTCAGCGGTCAGCAATTGGATAATGCATAAGGTGGAAATGCGTGTTTGTACCCTCGGGGTGCGAGAAGAGGACAACCCAGTTGTCTCCGATGAACTCGTGGAACTTGATGGGGCCCTGAACGGGGTCAGCGAAATTCTAACGAGGGTTTTTGTCTGGAATTGGGAGACGAACGGTGGTGGTCACAGCTTCAAAGTCCGGAGCAATGCTTCCGAGGCGGAGACTAGCCTGGAGTTAACATATATTTCTAGGCAATCAACGCAAACGATACTCACGTTCCGGTGGGAGTTTGAGCGGCCATCGTACCGGTGTACTAATGTATGGGTAACTTCTGGTGAGAGGAGCTGCGTATCGTCGAGTGGTTTGCTGTGACTGGCGAGAGAGGGGGGGAGAAAAGGAAGGATGGAGTAAATAAGGGGCGGGATGCCATGACCGGCGAAAAGAGGGGCAACCCATCCCACCATCCTATTACAACACGAGCCAAACCCATCTCGCACAATCGAATCTGAGCATTGTCGTACGAGTACTGTGCCGGTAGTGGAGGGGAAAAAAGCTAAATGATGCCATCTGAAAGTTTATCTATTGGTCAGTTCTTTAGCAGTGGCACCACCCGTTTTTGGAGTGTAGAATTATCATTGGCATCCGAAAATCTTTTTTTTAGGGAATTCCCCTTCCATAAACGGTAGAGATCATAGATCTAAGCCTAAATAAGTAGCGAGTGCTGGGGGAATGTTGAAATGTCATGGATGAAAGGGATCAGTTGGGGCAAACTTGGACCTTGCTGGGGCAGGGAGAAGTGAATAATAATACTATGAAAGCCAACAGAAAAAAAATGCTGTCTGGGGGATGCTATAGACAATTCCGGGCGCTCACTTATACAATCTATTCTGCTTTTTTAACCCAATCGTTGAGGAGTCGAAATATTTTTTTGCTCTGGTGCTCAATCAGGAGTATTGGTATGACTAATGGTGGGTCCCCATACTCGAGCACATCCAACCTTGAACCCCTACTGCATAACTCATCCAGAAGTTAATGTTCCCAGGATAACTCCCCACTTGCCGAATCGACGGTTTATCCTCTATTGAATGGTTGAGAGAAATATAGTCTAAAATCGGGTCTGTTGTTGGCCGTCGCCTTCTCTCGGTACAAACTCTGACCTCACCCGCGCCAAGACACCCCCGCCGGAAACAGGAACCTAAATTAACTAATTATTAACCGTAAACTGGTACGAATTACTATGTGTTATTAAGTGAAATGATCGTTGTTTGTGCTCCTGCTAACGGCTTCCGCTTAGCTGTTAGGATTTTCTTTCTTCTTCTTTGTGGTCCCCCATAGGGTTGAAGGCCCCCAGAAGAAAGATTGTGATAATGTGTGGCTGTTTGCCAAGACCACACATGGAATGCCAGGTGTTTGGTGCCATTAGGGCTTCGCTCCCTGCTCCGAAACAGCCAGATCCGTCTGAAATCATGGCCGGGCACTCTTTAAACCTGTCCTGAAATGATTTCTGCCTCGCGACTCGCTGAGGATGTTTAAATTCGCTCGGGGTGCTGGGCCGTTTAATCACAGAAAGGACTACCATAGAACTCTGGTTTTCTGTCCAAGTCCAGCTAACTGTTTGCCAAATCTGGCCTTGGAGGATCTGGTGGCGAATTTGACTGTTTCAGAGCGGGCAAAGGATATTCGAGTAGAGGCACTTGTATCGGGTAAGAGGTTTTCGTGCAAGGCAGGGTGCCGGTAGATTTAGTTGCGAGTACTGTACCGGTAACGAGCAGGAAAAATCCCTATCTTGCACGGAAACATCTTATAAGTACCTGGCACTTGTAACCCCCAGGTTTTCATGGTATTTGAGAAATTTTTCCATTTACTATACTCCAGCAGTTGCGCTGGAATCAAGTTGTGCGTCGTGGACAAACTGAAAAAACGGGGGTTTTTTTTGGCACATAGTCTGCCGACAGTTCGAAGGCGAGCGCCGTATTAACTTGGATGGGAGGGGTATGTCTCAAGACGTCTGACTTTCCTATTTTGAAGGAGACGGAAGGGAAAACCAAAAAAAAGCGAACAAGCAAAACGTTATCATACTTAAAGGGGCAGCTTCGACGTCGTGAGACAAACTTCTCATATTAAGGTTAAAATCATACGGTACCGTTCTGTACACTCCATCGGATTTGCCGGCAACTAACAGGCGCTATGGCAGGACGTGCAACACTTGCAAGTGCCCATGCTATCTAGGGGTGGTCGTTGTATTAGTTTTCCGTTGAATACGTATTTGAACACGGCTGGGTGTATGATGGATGAATGCTGGTCAAGGGTCTGCGGGGCGGAGATGCTGATATTGAGGTATTGTAAACAACATTGCATGGCAAAGCAGTCTACCATTCCACGTTCTCTGGCTCTGTGACAAGCTGGTGGCTTTTGTATTTCATGCTTTACAATTTAATATATAATATCGTAATGGTATTGGGTCGGTAAGCAAAGGGAGTTATGTGACATTAGAGGGATTGCGCATAGAGACCGATGTTGTTTTGATATAGGTTAGTGGCTGGTGGTCCGGCTTGACGGCCTGTTTCCTTTGTCCTCCCCCTGCCGATACTGTTTGTAAAATCTATAAAATTGGGCCCGGAATTGAGGACCCCGAATGGCAAATTCAACCACACTTTTATGCCCCCGCGTGGGTGTGATCCCCTTTACCCCAAAAGTTGCACTCCTGGGAATGATTTTAGCAGGAGTGGTTTTAAGATATGGTACCCGAGGATTGGTCGGTGTATGGCTTCCTGAAGGAACCGAGTTTAAGAAGCCCGGTGTTTGGCGGGGCTTCGTGTCCTCTTGGTATGATATGTACAAGCAACAGTCTCTGGCAACACTAATACCGCATTGCCGGGTACGGCGGAGCGTTAGGTATGCTGGGTGATCAGAGGATTCCCGGAGGAATCCGCAATGTTGTTTGTAACTTCACTTAGCTCGATTCTGTTGAACCCCTCCCAGATATAGACCGCGTCTTTCTCAGCTACCGGGTGTAGCTGACGTTCCGCCGTACTCAGGAAGCCGCCGTACCCGGCAATGCGATACTATCGTACTGGCGGGGCCGATAGATGTATTATTAGTCATGCGCCTTCTCTCTGCAAGCCGCGACGAGTGGATTCACCAAATGGTGCTTATCAGATCCACGTGACCGATATATCAATCGACTACACCCGTATTGGTATCGGAACCCACCTTGGATAGACTACACAAACCCTCCGTCCAGGGTACTCGTAGAGTGCGGTTTGCCAATTCAACTGAGGGATGTTACTGGTAGTCGGAATTTGGCAATTGAAATAATAGAGAAAGTTTTCTGTCCTCAACCTGGCTCTGACGTGAAAGGGAACTTGGATGAGTGCAGTACCACTATTAACACTGGTATTGGAGCCTTGGTAAATGAAATTGTGGGGAATTAGACCAGGCTGTCACTGGGATACTACTGGTGCTGAAATGTGAGCAATTAGGGCACTCTGCCTCGGTGAACTTCGCACAATTCAAGGCCAACTATGCAATCTACGGTGCTTGCAATATATAGATAGTTTTTTTTGGGTTAGGTTGAAAAGAGGCTCTTCCTGGAATATAAGTTACAGTTAGAGTTTGGGTAAGACATAACACCTTCTCAATACCTATAATTTCCTTGATGGTATACTTCTGGCATCCATGCCTGGGAAAGGTCGTGATGAGTCAAGAAAGAAAGAAAAATAACATTTTGGCTTATTGTAGTATTGATATCATACACCAGCAGGAGGCATGGCAATTTCGTGAAGACTGAAGCCTGAGTGCAAAAACCCTCACCCTGACTAGCCTCTGGAGCTGAGCTGTCTGGTATGATGTCATAGAACCCGGTGTTGAGAATTTAGGGCACTTCAGGCCAATGTTACTAACGTATAATAACACTTTTAGGTACCCAGCACTAAAATGCCGCTTCTGAAAACCCAATCGGTAACCCAGGGCCAACAGGGACTTCTCCTACTCGGGAAATACCCTAAATTATTCTCCTTAGCTCTCTATTTGATGTGGGGGCTTTTCTTTTTTCATTTTTTTTTTTGAACTTGAGATTTCTCCGGGCTGGATCTAATGCCATCTAGGAGTGGGGACATTTTGGAGAGCACAAACCATACTCGGGGTCTTCCCGACGTCGGTGGCCTGGATGCCGGCGTGGATGAAACGGGGCTATCGGTACTATCCCCGGTGGGGTGGTTCCAGCTTTAAGAGGGGTTCGGAGTTGGGTAAGGTATGAACACAGCCGACAAGTGAGGGGGTTGATTCCTCTGCCTTCTCAGGGTGGCTTCATGTATTATCACGTAAACACCGTCCCCCCCGTCTAAGTGTGGACACAACCCGCCGAGTACTAAGCAGGGATCACAGGGTACCCGGACATCCGCTATCATATCGCCTTCTACCGACGGTTCTGGAAGCATGTTAATGCTACCCTGTCCATATATAAACTTGTACCAACTATCTTCCCGTCCACAATATGTGTATATCCCGATGTGAGGGTGTCCGTCTGGAAGGGTTTGAGCTATTTCTTTCCCCCCTCTTTGGCCCCCGGCCTTCTATTCGGCCACTTGGACCGGTCGTGGAGTTTTAGCTAGGGCTACCGATATTGGGTGACATAGCAGTAGGATGCGGTGATTAAGTTATGTTGCTAAAAACTCGAGGGGTAGCGGGACGGGAGGATTCCCACTATCTTCCGGCTGTGGAACACAAAATTTGTCCCTATAAAACCAACTACTCCTAACACGCAACCGATTCCTTCTTCACCATTCCTCTTGTATCAAGCTTAATCTTGGGATTTGGCCTCAGAATCTACTTGAGTGAATTGCAATTTCAGAGGCCATGTCGCAACAGCGAAATCCCCCAGAGGGATCCGAAACAAACACACACGGTCTTCCCAAAGCCTTCGACCTGGAAAAATCTACCATGGTAGTAGGTTCGATCTTCCCATTGTATGAGGGAAAGCCCCAACCAGAATTCAGTTATCTAGAATGGGACACTGCTCCAGAGATTCTCTGTGCGGACCCAGAGCGACTCCCCAGTTCAGTAACATGCTATACGGATCCATTTACTTGGCCGGTAGCACAGAAGAACGGGATCACTATTTTAGCTTCTCTTTCGACTGCTATGGGTGCATATTCGGCTGGGGCTTACACTAGTGGGCTTGATCAAATGATGGAGGAATGGCATGTTAGCAGGCTGGTACTGTTGGCTGGAATCACGACATTTACAGCTGGATTTGCGTTACCGCCTTTGGTGCTTGGTCCTTTTTCTGAGGTTGGTTGTTGTGGTTTTCTTCTGTTCTATTTACCTCGGGTTGGGAGGGTAAGTTAGAGGGTCCGGGAGTGAAGATCTATGTTTGTGTGCCCGGAGCGCCGGTGTCGATTTTATGGGTTGGCGGAAGGGTACTGATTTGATGAGTTATTAGGTGTATGGGCGACGGGATGTTTACCTCGTTACTTTCGGGCTGTACAATGGTTTGTCTAACCCGTGTTTCTTGTAACACACAACTTACATATCTTCAGTCTGTCATCTTGCCACGGCTTTATGTCGCTCGTCCACTGGGATGGTTGTCCTTCGTTTCTTCTTGGGTGTCGGTGGAAGCACGTTCGGTGCTATGATCGGTGGTATCATATCAGATATCTATCTTGCGCCAGACCGTGGCTTCCCAATGGCACTCTTCGCAATGTTTGGGCTCGCCTTCACCGGCGTTGGACCACTTGTGAGCGGGGTCATCGCAGAGCATCTATCTTGGCGTTGGATCCACTGGGTCCAATTGATATTCAATGGGGTATTGATGGCAATATCGTTTCTCGTTTTAAAGGAAACTAGGGGAAGTGCGTTACTGAGCCGTAAGGCTAGGGCTCTAAACAAGTTTCTGGATGAAAGTGGGGATCGAGGGAACAGATGGAAAGTGAAGGCAGATGAGGAAAGGGAGAGCATTTCCCTGATGGTCAGGGTGTCCTTGACTAGGCCGTTCAGATTTCTTATCACTGAGCCTGTGGTATTCTGGTTTAGCTGCTGGTTGACGTTCGCATGGGGGATTCTATATATGTGGGCGAACAGCTACCCCAGCTCATTGAAATGAGATAAGTGTCTAACACAGCTATGTGTAGGTTCCTAGAAGCTATCCCCCTGGTCTTTATAGAAAGCCACGGGTTCACCATCGCCCAAGTTGGCTATGTATTCGCAGGTATTTACCACCCTCAATTGTACTCATCCACCACTAAAGGGGTACAGCAATGCCCGTCGGCTGTTTAATAGCTTTATACTGCAACGCCCTGATAGAAACTGGCGCGGCAAAATACTTCGCAGGAGCCACTCCAAGCCCCGAATCCCGCCTCTACTCTGCCTGCACAATGGGCTGTCTTCTGCCAATTGGGCTGTTCTGGTTTGGTTGGACATCCTTCCCGTCTCAACACTGGATACTCCCGACAATGGCCGTCAGCTGCGTAATGATGGGGATCTACGCCATTTATCTCGCCGTGTTTAATTATTTCGCCGACACGTACCACCAATACGCAAGCTCTGCACTCGCCGCCCAAAGTTTCTGTCGAAACTTTTTCGCTGGTGGGTTTCCGCTCGTGGCGGACGTGATGTACCACCACATGGGCTTTTCTGGTGCTTCGAGTCTCCTTGGGTGCGTCGGGACGCTGCTGACCCTTGTGCCCTGGATTTTGATGTTTTATGGGACGAGGATTAGGGCTAGGAGCAAGTTCGCCAAGGCATGATACCCGAAACCACTCCCCAATCGTTGTTGTGCAATCGAGGCTGACGTTCGGGTTAGGAAATCATGAACGCTTGATGCAACCTTTTCCTTGCTTGTTTCGGTTATGAAATGTTATGATACGTGCCGTTTTTCTATTCATTTTGGGGGCAAGTTAAATAGCGCACTGATATAAACTGTACTGTACATACATACATGATGGTTAGGTATTATACACCATGATCGCCGCAATACGGTGCATATAGCCTCCTAGAGGGAGTTTCTGCGGCAATGGGGTCTATTTAACCCATTGGTTACTCAACGCTAGTCAGACTCAAGGATAGTGGACAAAGGGTTTGCTCGAGTGAGTGTAGATGATAGTTCTTGCGGAATCTGATAGGGTGGAGGCAGCTCCCTGGGTAGTCCGCTGTATTGGAGACCGAGCACAGTAGATAAGGAATCTAGATACTACTCCATTGCGGACCCAGAAGCCCAATATTTTTGCCCGGAAGCACCTCCAGGCGCTCAGAATCACCAACTCCTCCCCTTCCTCCCTGGATCTGCTAGGACTCCGACCGGACTCTCCATGGTGCACCAACCTTGTGGAGTGTGCGGTGTATCAGTAAGGATCGGATAACCATTTCTACTGGCCCCACCCAAATCTTTTTGGAGACGAGGGTCACCGTGTGTTTCTCAATCTTTATGGACGCACCATAGTGGGGACTGTACCGGTACTCGAATACCCGTGCTCGAGTAAATTCTAATCCCTTGTGAAGCAAGGATACGCCTTCCCTCTACCCGTAGACTACGGTACCGATACCGGCCCACTTTCGAAGCTCTATGAGTGATAAGTGGCGAATTTGGATCGCAAGCATTCCGTCAAGTTATTGGCCCTGCCACCCTGCTCTGGACCCTTTGCGCGCCAATTCGGGAAATGATTTTCACACAATTTGAGGTGTGCCTGGGCCTGAAACACAGGAACAGAAGCAACGAATGGTACCGGTAAGCCTACGAGTATGAAACCTGTAGACTACCCGAGTACCGTAGTCCATGGTCCGTAGTCTTGGCTGACGCAGCATGACGAACATCTAAATAATCACTCCTAACCCTCCGGACCCTGGCGGCCCCCACAATTAAGTTGCTCGCCCCGGGCCTCTCCTTGTCAACCTCCCGTAACTCGCTCCACTCGAGCAACAACACGACAAACCGTGAAAAATCTTGAATTTCTTTATGACGGGCAGAGCCTATCATACCCTATCACGCATAGAATGCTGCAAATCTTGGCTTTCGTGGATGAGGCTGAGTCTTGGTATAAACTGGCTTCATGTACGAGTATTTTTTCTATGGAAGGGAGGTTGATAGCTGTTTGATAAACCATCACTGCTATCTCCCTCAGCTACCGAACCAGAAAGCTGTGATGTCTGGCTTCCTGGGTCGTTTCCAGCGTGGCGCTTCGCGGGCTACCGAGAAACATATTCACCCAGATACTCCTCGAGCGATTACTACAAATCCTAATGGTCTGGGGCAGATTCATACCGGGGCGGCGGCTACGGCCGGAGATGTAGAAGCCGGGGATGAGTATGAAGGCTGGGTTGATCCGTATGGAGGTCCACCTACAGTTAAGCTGTGGTTTAAGTGGTATTGGCATGATGTTCTTGCGTGAGCACCTATCACTCGGAATTCAACTCCAATGAACTGGAGACTAATATAGGTATAGATTCATCTTTCTGGCTGCGATCTCGTTATGGCTACTTATGTGGAGTCCAATCCCTTATCGGAAGTTATTTGCTGTGACAGTCAATCCGGGAAATCTAGTGCCGGAGGATGGGTTGGTGCTCCGGGCTGACTGGATCTGATCAACTAAACGTAACTGACTAGCTAAATCAGTTCCTCCGAAATCATAAATCCGGCTTTCGCCTACCCTAAGCGCAAACAGATCGTTCCCATCATAGCCGACGCCATGATAGCAATATTCGCCCCCATAACCTCCATAGTCCTGATCAACATCGTAGGGATCGCAACCTACGGCCCACACGGCAAGCGTATACACATGGCCGGTAAGCGTGGTGGTGCCTTTCTAGGCCGCGGATCTTTCTGGAACGTCAACAACGGCTGTATGGGGGTAATCTACTCCGTCATGACCGGTGCTTCCCTGCAAATCATCATAAAGTTAGTGATAGGAGGGCTGAGGCCACACTTCCTCACGGTGTGCGATCCCCAAATGGATGGTGTTCAAGGAATGGGATACGGTCGGTTATATTTCGATACAAGTGTCTGCAGAGACAATACAGACCCCAAGAGACGGGATGAGATCGCCAACGCGATGCAAAGTTTCCCATCCGGCCACTCCATCGCCGCCTGGGCCGGCCTCTTCTACCTAAGTCTCTACTTTAACGCGCACCTAAAGATATTCTCAAACTACCACCCCTCGTACTGGAAACTCCTCCTTTTTGTCACACCCATGCTCGCTGCCACCCTGATCGTCGGCTCACTATCGCTGGACATGAGCCACAACTGGTACGACATAGTTGTCGGCTCGATAATGGGCGTTGTCATGGCAATCCTCTCATACAGGATGTGCTTTGCTGCAGTTTGGGACTTCCGCTTCAATCACATCCCTCTCGCTCGGGATCCGCGTATCCCCGGGTTCGGCTACAACATGGAGGAATTGGAGGACTGGAGTGGGGGGTGTGCCACTAGAAGGGGAGGCTGGGGCGTCGCGAGACGGTACGCGACGTTTAGCCGTGGGTGGGGTGCTCCGGGGGATTGCGCATTTCAGAGCGTCGGGGTGAGTACCGGGTTAGGGGGTGTTGATTCTGCGGGCGGGCGGAGGCACCATTGTCATGATAGAGAGTACCCGGGTGGACCGTGCAGCGAAGAGAGTGCCGCGAGGGAACTGGCGGTGCTAAATGTGGCGAGGGGGCCCCCTGTTTAGCCCCGGAACCCAAAACTTGATGTATATTTTCCTTTTACTTCTCCCTCTTCCCTTACAGATTTATTTCCATCCAGCAGCAAAATATATCATACTCGTCCATTCGCCGCTTTCTTGCTTTTCATTCCCATATACCCCCCTGCAGCCTCCATCTACCCACTCGCCCATCCTGTACCCTAGTACCAAATAAGATATCACGAACGAACGACCATTAGGGTCACGGTTCTCCAACACGTCCCCGTCCATCTCCCCGACAGACATGTGAACAAACCAGCGCAAGCTTTCCCCTACGCACAGGCGCAACAACCCCCATCCACGCACGGGAGCACTCGCCCGAACACCCGACGCAAACCGAGCGCGGACAAACCCCCATTTGTCATGTCGTTCATGCACCATTCTGACGCGCGGCCAGGTAGGTCATGCATCGTCACTCGGTACTTGAGATCTCGCGAGGCGGGGAGGCACGAGGGCTGACCGCGGGAAGGGCAAGCAGGCAAGCGGCTGAGTGAAATACCGACACCGGCATCCGTGCGCTCCCGCGTTTCCCGCTACGTTAGTTTGTGCCTGCGTATCCCTCGCCGTGGAGGGGTTGGATCTGCAGTGACTGGAAATGCGGGCCCGGTTTTCTCTGCGGTGCAAGGGATGCATATGCCTGCGGAAGTTGGTGCAACATTTTCGGATTCTGGATGTCGGTAAATTACGGTACAGTTGGTGTTCGGGAGGGGGGGGGGGGGGGGGGTGGGCTTGGATGGGGCGTGGTGGGGCTGTTTCCTGTTTTTTTTTCTTCATTCTACCCCTTAATATTATTTATTTTTGCAAATTTCCCTAGCTTTTTTTTGTTTTATATATTTTATTTACTGCGGTTAATGATCGTTGGTTAAGCTGGAATCTTTACCAAAGCTGGTATGACTTGCGGGCTCTTGTTGCGATGTGACCAGTGCCGGTATGATAGATCATAAGTGGAAAGCATCTGCACGATGGCTGTATGATACTTGAACTATTCCTATCAGAATCTCGGGATCTTCTGGATAGCAAAAGAGCGACAAGCGTAGGTGAAGGGGATGAGGGCTTTCTTGCCCTGATACTTTGGGCGTGGGGGAATGAATACCGGTAGTCGAGTCTGTCTACCGGTATCTTTAAAGGGGCTATTCCCAATGATCTCTTTTAACGAGTGTTATGATACGGTACCGGTAGTGTCAGTGCTGATAAGTAGCCGCGGCTCGAGGAAAAGCTAGTTATGTGTTACAAGTATCGGCACTGCAGTGCAAATCCGTGATTCAACCAACGGCACGGCAGGTCCCGTAGCCACACAGCCAAGGCAGCCAGGCAGGGATGGGAGACAGGGAGGAACCAAGAAAAAAAGAATCAAGTGGCAAAAAGTTCCGACAACGACAGGATTTGAACCTGTGCTCGCGAACGAAACAGATAGCCAGAATTTTGCGCATTCGAGTCTGTCGCCTTAACCACTCGGCCACGTTGTCTTGATATCTTTATCTCTTGCTTTGTGAATATATATAATAAATTTGTGTATGTTTTACTCATGATTGTTCATCCGGGGCTTTGTTTCACAGAAATCCTACATCTGACTTCACAGCTCTAATTCTCCAATGGCAGTTCTGAATTGGGTTCTTATCTGTCTCAAATCATCCTTAGCCCCAACATGTCACTCTTCTCTCCCTCGCCCTTCCAATTTGCTTCGTTCCAAGAATTATCATGTTACAGCCATGAGACCTCGAATGCGATAATGAGTTACCCTACCATCCATGACGTCGGCTAGACCTCGTTTCGACAACGTTTCCTCCAAACCTAGCAGCCATGGGAACCAAAGTTTCAAGGCTACTAGGTGCCTCAAGCACTCGAAAATACCCCACTCGAGCACCGGAGACCACAGTATCACCTTCCTACCAACCTCAGGACCCGTGGAAGGCTAACTACAACAAAACTCAGGGTATGTATAACACAGCGCCGACTCAAAATCAGTGTTTGATAGATTGTCGGGGTTGTTGCTCTTCTTGATCGTGCCTGGGAGACGGGAGAAGGAAACATGACTGATTGGTGAGCTGTAGACGTTCTACGCGATGCTCAGGATCCAGGTTACCAAAGTATGCTGAAAAGGGCAGGGGTCGCCGAGATAATGGACCCTGCGAGAAACATAGCTGTGAGCGAGAAGGTGAGTGTGCGTGTTGAGTTGGACGAGTTTCTAAGGGCGGTAACGGGGGGCGCATTTTGTTTATCTGTTTTTTCCGTTTTGTAATTGTTGGTGGAAGGTTCAAAATATGCCCCGTTGCGGAACTGTTGGACTGAATCGCTGACGGAGTGATGGATTGACGGGGTGAGTTGCAGAGTTCGAATTCCCTTCATACAATCTCCCGTCGTCAGGCGCTCCACGACCAGCAACAAATGGAATCTTCGAGTAAGCAGGGGCGAGACAGGCGTACGTGGGTCGACACATCGACTATCTTTAGGATCTTGAAGCTTAGGGATGAGAAGAAGTGGGAGGCTGAGCGCATCGAGAGAGAGCTGGGGTTAGCGCCTGGCCTGGTGGATAGGTTGGGGGATAAGGTTGGGAAACCATGATGACGGATATGAAGTAGTGTAGTGCAAAAATGGTCACTCAGGGCTGTGAGTTCAGCAGAAAGGAAAAAGGAAAAAAGGTTTGCATTGCATTGTGCGACTTGTCGATGCGCTCATAATCGAACGATTTTTGCGAACACGACTGCTATTGCATACCGCCAAAATCCAACTTTTTGCTTAGATCTTGGTGTCATGCAAGAGCGGCCGTATCCATAAACGTCGCTCAATTGCGAGCATGTTGGTCCGACCAACGGCTAACTGATACTCTTGGTGTGTAGCGCAATTTTGCACTCTCTTCTCTTCTCTTACTTGCTACGCAAAAGAAAAGTTATCATGTACCTTTGTTAATTCGGGAATCGGTTCTTTCTCTCCCAAACCCTCGAAAGGAGAGGAGCGTCCAGTTGGGGCACGTTCAGGGTGTGTATATTTCGATAGGACCGGGGGAATGGAAGAAGAAAAGTATGTGATATTATATTTTGGGGTGCGAGTGCTATACAAGTACAAGTCGGCCGTGGGTAGGGAGAAAGGCATTGGGTGTTTCCCTTGTTTCCCTCCTGGAAATCCCCTAGCCTAGGAAGGGATCCGGTGTCATAGGGACTCAAACAATTGTGTAATGTACATGTACTATGTTGTTCGAGCTCCCTCCCCCGGCCAAGGCTGGTATGGTGCTACTTGGTTTTTATACCTTTCAGAAGGGTGTACTGACTCACCTTTTGTTGTGTTTTTTCGTCCCGTTTTCGTGAAAGGAAGTTTTTGGACCACTTAGCACACGGTTCAGTTTTTTTTGATCCTGGGGTAACCTAACCCAATATGTTTCGGCTGGATTAGTTAAGACGCTTGTGACACCTACATAAGGGTCACGGATTTTCAAGTTTGGGGGCAATGCTTATTCCAACTCGCACTCACTTTCCAGGGCTTAGGTTAACCCCCACGGCGAGCCAGGGAAAGATGAGTGCTCGTTCAAGTCTCACATGCCGGTACCGGTGCAGTTGCTGGTACCCGACACCCGTTGTATTGGTTCGGCCCTTTCCTTTTTTCTTCTTCCTGCAATGTGGGAGTTCTATCTGGTGGGGGCATGGGTTAGCTTCGGGCATTGGTTCGAGTGGCACCCCGAGCTTTGAAACTTGAACCGTCGGGGGCCGAGGTGCTGGGCCGGCGTTGTCTCCAACCACTCTCTTTATTATGCAAGCCAACACGCACGCACTTTGTTGGCAAGAATGGATCGACAATTCAAGCCCCCTCACTTCCAAGACCTGTGGGGGGAGGGGGGTTAGGATACTGGTATTCAACCATTGAAGCTGAGGTTCCTTCACTTGCGCACGGGCATGGGCGATCCCACAGTCAAGGATTCTGGAGGGCTGGCTGCTATGAGCCCTTATCTGAATGAATCTGCTGCAGGTGTGGAAATCGCTCAAGCAAGCAAGGAGCTTTGACACCTCCCAATACCTGAGTGATCACACTCTCGTGAATCCTCTCGCTCTCTGCCCGGGTTGGGGCTACGCATTTAGTGGTGAGGTAAACCGTGATATGTCGTCAACATCTGATTGCGGACAGCTAAAATCTAGGAAAAGGAATGGAAATAACTACGGATACATGCCGCATTTCGCACCCCTTCAATTGTCGGCCAATCGGTTAGTTTTATGATATCTAGTCCTTTTTTGAACTCTTTTTCAACTACAGTGTAGCAATCGGGAATTGGGGGCCACGCAAGGGAAGTCTTCGCTGTCCCATGAGGTCAACCAATGACCGGATACGGCACACTCCCAAGTCCCGAGATTTCCGGAAGGGTAACTCAAGCTTGTCACTGGCAAGGCCCTCTTGTGGGAAGAGATAGATGGAGATGTCGTTGATGTCTTTGCGGGCACAGCATGCCAATTGCACATCATAACTCATGTAGGATTAGCATATCGTAAGATACCTTTCTACCGGCTGCCAGAAAGGTGGTCACGCCGCGATAGCCTTTGTACGGCACTTCAATCGCCCCACGAATATACCGCCCCTCACCCTTCTTTCCAAGAACAGCCAACATATCCACCAATCAGGGGAGCCGGGGAGGGAAGAGGAGGAGTGCGAAGTGGCAGGAGGGGGAGGAGCAGAAGGGATAGAAAGAGCGCTTGAGCACGGTACGGTGTATAATGGTACGATACGACCCTCTTGGGACAACTCAGCCCCTGCATGCAGGCTGGTTCTCGCAGAGAGCTTGCCTCTACTAGCGTCCTGCCCAACCCTGCCGGTATATTCGGCCCTACTCAAGCACCTTAAGGGCTCCTGTAATTCGCTATCTCTCGCGGGATGTGTTGGATCTCATTAACTGGTGTTGGGAGCTATGTTGACCTGTCAAACTGAGCCTACGGTGGGGTTATGCGGTGATCTCCGCTCACGCAACAATCTGGTAGCGAATTCCGAGAGTTCCTATGGTACCGAAAAAAGTTTGGGTCTAAAAAGGAAAGAAAAAAACAAAGATAAAAGATCTTGCCAAGATAAATCTCTACCAGATATCACTCCGGCATGCAGACCTTCCTGCGGCTGCTCGGGGCTTTGGATGGATAAATCAACTACCAGTACCGGTACCCTGCCGTACGATGGCCCAAACTCAACTTATCGTTAGGGGGCTACCGGCAGATTGCAATACGGTAATAATTTGATTCTAATAATGCGATCATGTCCTGTAGGGCGGACTCGAGCCAGCCATCCAGCCACCTGGCTGATGCGATGCGCTGACTTCAGGGACGACACCGCCCTGGTATTGATGATTCAGGAGCATAACCTATGATGTCCACCTCTACAGACCCCACTTGGGAAACAAATCCGGGAAATTTTTTTCCTTTTCTCCCTCTCTCCCTCTCCCTCCCTCTTTCTCTCACTTACTTTCTTTCCTTCCTCGGGGCCGGTAACGCATATTATGTGGGCACGGCGACGGCTCGAGAATCAGGCCTCGATTCCTCTTCTGCGGCGCGGCGGAAGTATTTTATGATACGAGACACCCCCAAACAAGCGCCATTCCTTAGGTATGATGATGACGCTCTACTGTCCGAGGCGGGCGGGTGAGTGGGGGGGAGGATGAAAAAGAAAAAATAATATGATACCGTATCATCCTATGTGCACTCGGAGCGAGCGACAATCTTCCCTGGATGGAAAGTTTGTCCGTCTACGGTATGTACGAGTACCATGCGATACCACGGCTTCTAGGCAGATGGGTAGACAGAGCTCCGATATGACAGAAAGGGTGACAAGAATTCTGATTAAGGCCATGTATTTTAGGGCTTTCATCCACGCCGACAGACGCAGAGACAGAAACCGCTCTGTAAACATACGGACCAATCATTACACTAGGTGCATTTTCACTTGTACTCGTAAAGTGAAAAAGGGAGTGTTGGTACTGCTCGTGGAACAGGTGCGGTATGGACACATACGATAACATGCAGTGATAAGTAGTAATCAATATGTTTCCCTCTATCTCTCCCTCTACATTTCTCACTCGTGTCCTTACCGTCAGGGCCAAGGCCCCCCAGTGGGCACAATGCTGTATATTACATTATCACAGGACTCTGCACTTCTGTGGCCCGGTAGCCAAAGTGCAGAACTCAAAGGGAGGCGAGGAAAAAAAAAAAGAGAGATGAGGGTATTGTACGATCGTACGTTGAACTATCATAGCTATTGGATCAAACTGAAGAAAAAAAGGGCTCTGGATATGATAGTAACTAAACTCCATCGAGAGGTCCCCCAAACACACATCATTTTCCGTGAGTCGCAGCAGCATGGTCGGATGGAGAGCAGAAAAATAGTGTGGGATTTCCTTCCCTTCAGCTACTTTGGATACCGTACGATAATATGATACTAGATAAGTTACCGGCACTAGTGAGATTAATTTACTTGCGGCAAGAGCGTTGAACGGAATGGCAATTTTGGCGGGACAAGGAAGGAGAGGGGGAAGGAAGCAAGCAAAGTGATAGGAGGGAGGTGAGGGGGGGGGGGGCAAGGAGTGTGGGAAGTTAGAGGGAAAGGCGCTTCCAACCACACAACATGACACAGTTAACTTTGTGCGATATCGGCAATTCTTTTCCCCTTTCTTTCCCTCCACTCTTTATTTTTTTTGCCTTACTCTTCTTCCCAAATGGACGACGCATGCACCCATCATCAATCCACAAATTGCCCACCTTAGGGTCAGGTACCCGATGCGATACGCCGATGGCGGACGTACGGTCCAGTACAGCAGTTGGCTTCGTTATATTGTCCCTTTTCCGTTCCGCAATAATTTGTTGGGGGGGGGGGTGGGAAAAAAAACCTGCGCAGGTAGGATAATTTCTGTATTTGCTCGCCCCGTTTTTAATAGTTAATATACGGTAATATAGGACATCACGGGACAGGAGAAGGCGTGCGGGGGCGCCATGCAATGCGTCCAGATCTTCGTCCGCAGATGCGCATCACCTATCATGCCCTACATACATATAAATACTTATGATACATGTACATTCCTGGTCATATTGGAATTGGCGATAAATTACCGGTATTTCTGAGCAGTCCGACCTTGCTGGGAGATATCGATGATCGTACGGTAGCTAGAGGTTGTCGCTCACATCAAGAGCCACTACTGAGACTCGAGGCAAATGTCGTTGTTCCCCGGGCGGGAGCCCCTTCGGGAGGTCATACGGTAGCCAATCCTCTGGTATCTCGAAGCCCCTCTTGGTAGAATTATGCCTAAGTGGCGCGGCTGATACAATTATGCTTTCGTGAAGGCGCAAATGTATGTCTAAAGCTGTGCATTCATGCCCCCTCAATTCCGGGTCCAATTTCATGCTCTTTCCCACCCACCAGGATGGGAAATCGAAGAACCGGGCCGCCAAAGCTTTGTCAAGGGAAATGCGTTTATATAATATACAGTGTCCGCATATTTTATAGTAAGCTACTTGCCGGAGATGATGCTGGGGGTGGGTGCCGGCAGTCTGGGCTCTCCCACTCGTACAGAGGGAGTTTTTCCTTCAATTCTTTCGAGAAGAAAAAAAAAAGAAAAGAAAAGAAAGAAAAGAATTGCTTGGGTCGTTTTAATGTGCCGCGGGGTTAAATGGGAAAAAAGCAGGGACACAGCAGTTAGGGATGCTGTCTTGTGGTGCTTTCTTCTTGCTTCATGCCGTCTTGTGTAGATTTTATGTCGGTGGAACCGCACTTCTCCGTGACCAAGCTGCTGGTACGGCGTGCTTATCATTTATCGCATCGAATATAAATAGTCAGAACCCAATAAATGATAATACGGCAAACCAGTGTAGGGCACCCTTGCATTGACTGGCCGCCCCCGCGCGGAACTAACTTAGCCGATAAGTTAATTTCCCCAGACCAGGTATTGTTACAGGGATGCAGTTCCTAACTTTTAAGCAGACTTGACCCGAGAGAGGGAGAGAGTTGTCGATTTATCGATAACACTCCCCCCCCCTCCCAATCCCTCCACGAGGAGTCTTATGAAGATCATGATTCACAGATAGTAATAATTCAAATGTTAAAAACAAAAACAAAAAACTGATTACTGGGGTATCACCGTCACAATACCACCGCACATGCCAACACAATACATGAGCTGGTAAAAGCCTACTGGTATACCCGAAACCTGAAAACTTCTGTGGTGAATAACTCGCGGACAAAGGAGATACCAAACACCTGGAGGGGTTCCCTATGCAGAGGAAGGAAGGGGGGGGGGTGGGAATGGGGATATTGGGCGCTCTGCGGTACATTATGACTACCATGAATGATGGCCCCCATCCATGATCAGATCTGCACCTGTCATGAACGAGCTGGCATCGCTGAGAAGGAATACCGCGGCGCCACTGTTATTATCGCATTTTATTAGTTGAGCGAAAGCAATGGCATTTAAAGTCAACATTTGTGGATCGTGGAGAGGAAATACCGGTATTCCTGCGGCTTGCTCAACCTTCCAAGCATGTTCTGTTTGGGCCAGTCCTCCCTCCTCTCCGGGAACTTTGTGAATAGTTCTTCGACCATCGCGGTAACAATGTAGCCCGGAGAGATGGTATTAACCCTGATACCGTAAGGGCCCCATTCGGCAGCGAGATTGCGGCCTAATTGTAGAACTGCCGACTTTGAGGCATTATATGCGGGGCAAATCAGTCCCTAATTCTCCCGCATTAGTGAACATATCCCGTTAGACCGGGCGATTAGAGATGTGCTTTTTCATTGAACTTACTCGATTCGCAATGGTCCCGGACATCGACGCAATCATAACAATACTACCACCTTTTCCCAATTTGACCATTTGTCTTGCTGCGGCCTGCGCTGTCAGGAAGGCTCCAGTAACGTTGATCTCCATCATCTTGTTGAAATCTGCCGCCGTGTATTCTAGAGCTGTGTGCTCTTCATTGATGCCCGCTGCTGCTATCAGGCCATCTAGTCGGCCATTCTCTTCGGCAATGGCCTGGACAGCTGCATGGAGTCTTGCTTCATCCCGCACGTCTATTTGAATATAGTGCAGGGAAGTCGCGAGCTTATCGGTGGCTCTAGCTTGAGCTTCGTAGAACGCCGGTGATGGCTCCGCAAGGCGGTCGAGGGCATACACTATAAACCTAGTAAGATGAGAGATACGGGAGATAGTGACGGTAGGAATCAAAAGCACGAACCTTTCGCTCCGGCTTCAAGCAGAGCTTCAGCTTGGGTTAGCCCAAGTCCTCGTGCTCCACCGGAAATCAGTACCACTCTATCCACTAGATTGAACTCCGGAAGGCGCTTTTGGGATCCAAGAAAGCCCTTGTCATTGCTCTCGAAAGCTTTCCCGGTAGCTTTGGGAGTCGGCACTGGTGTCCCCTTCGTATTCGAGGAAGATGATATATGTCTAGTTGCAGGTGAGGCCGCCAGTGGGAATAACCTTCGGGGCACCGGTGCTCCGCATCGTTGGCGCAGACAGCGGGCCAAATTTGAAGTGATGCGAAAGCCGGAATTCATAGTGATCGTTCTTTTGGAAGGGAGTGGTGGGAGTTGCGGGTAAAAAAAGAGCAGGTGTCGGGCATTCCTATTTATGAGTGGAAGTAAGCAGGAGGGAGCATGATTATTCGGGGCGGGGCAGTCAATTACGATACCCTCCTGCCTCCTGGGGATCAAAGCAGGTCGCGTTCGAGCTAGGTAGGAATAGAACTAGGAAGCTGGGATATACTACTTGAGCACAGTGCCGGTACGGGAGGAATTCCAATTGAAGTAATGAGCGGAATACAGTACCGGTACACCTCTTGCCTCCATTACTCAACCAGGCATTCGGGCCCTGCCCATGATATCTTCGTAGCTGCCACACGTGTAAACGAATGGCAGGTATCCCTTCCACCTCCTTGAGCCCAACTAGGTCCATTCCTTTTCTCCGGCTGCCGAAACCAGGAATAGGATGATATCCAGGGTCCTGCCATCTCTATCCGGCTACCACCCGCCCTCCCCGGGGAGCGCAACACTGGGGCTCGGACCAAGATAACGAATCCTTCCATGTTTCCCAGTCCCGGAAATATATGTGGGAGTTCGCCAATTGCAACATTGGGCACCCATGCATGCTGTACGCACCAGTTCACCCACGTTTCCAGCCCAACCCGACCAAATACCTCCCTGCTGTTTTGGCAGCCGATTCAAGTACCGGTATAATGAGCCGTCCAATCCAGATCGGCACACAGGCGCTGGGCCTTCCAGCTGCTTCAATATAGCGGTGATTTCGAGTTAGTAATCCCCTATACTCTCCGTCACTGAGCTCGTACGAGTAGTCCAGGAACGGCAGACAATCGGCTATTGGTCCGTTCAATTGCACTAACGGCGTACGAACGATATTGCCCAGGATATCTAACGGTAGGGCCGGCATAAATGCACTCTGGTGTTTAGGAAACACGGGAAGGTCAAGGATTCCCCGACCAATTACCGTATTCATTCAAACCGAGAGAGCCTTCTTCCTCGGCCCGGTGCTCGAGTGCTCTACTTGAGTGCATACTGTGCCCTATTTGCCACTTGCTGCCCTTCAACTTGTTTGGCTGCTTGCAACAGTAACTCCCGGATGTTCGAATTGAGGTGTCCGGCGGCAGAAATAGAGCTGAGGTATTGGCCCGTCCCAAGCGTATGCACTCGGCTAAGTATTTTCCTGTACGTCACATGAACGTGCGCATTACGCTGCATGAGAAAAACGCGCCATCCAAATACGGGTGTTTCAAGCCTCAACGTTTATCTGGACAAACCCCCCACCAAACCATTCCGGCATTTCCGTTTCGAGGGTTCCGCCCAAGTGCGAGTAGAGAGCAGTACGGTAGGCGTCCGATGTGATAGCTGCCTCTCGCGCACTGTCGAAAAAACTTGTGGCGGGGTATTAGTAGGGGTTAATTCGAGCGATCAATAAACCACTCGAAGAGAACCAACTAATTGTAGCAGTTAGAACCCCGGACCGATTGATTCGGAGTTTGCTTTCCTCCGGGGGGGAAGGAGGATCGAGGATTCTGTAGGGCTTCTCCGGATTTCAATTACAAGTACCTATAATCCCCATTGTACTCATACTGGTCCGTGCTGAGCCCGATTTCTAGTCCTTATCATACCCCGCGCTACCCTGCTATTGGTAAGCCAATACTTGTACAAGTATGCCTACCATGTTACACACTCCAGGTTGTTGGTGTCTAGGTTACCTGACCTGTCCCTTTTTTTAACCCATATTTACGGCCTGCGCACCGCTCCCCAGGATCTCGCTGATATCTTTTTCCGCCCTTCTTGACCACACCTGTACCGGCAAATTGGCTCCAAAAGAGCGGTCGTGGGGTTTCAATGGCCCCTCAAGCACTTTGTGCCACACCTTTGTAGCCACTTCACGTTTCAAAGCGCTGCTTCAACCCCTGCTCCATCACCGTCTGCTATTGCTGAGTACTCGAGTACCGGTACCGTGCCGTAATTTACCCGTTTGACCGTTGCTTACCGTATTTGACCGGAATCCCAGTATTAGGAAAGTATAATGATATTATCAGAGAATAAGGCTTCTTGGAAACGAGTTCGCAGTTCGTTATCTCGTGGTGAGCCCCCCGGTTCGCTACGGTACTGTCCCAACCAGAAAAGCTTAACTTATTTAGTTGGCGATCGGAGACAGGACCTGGGGCTTAAATTTATTCTCGAGTAGTCTGAAAGCTCTATTGTATCCCGACCGCTCTGGTAAGTATTGACACTTGACAACATCATGTGCCTTGCTCAATGCAACTTATTTCTATTTTGCCACAAGCTCCTCCTTCACCCCCCCCTCTATTAACTGCAGTTGTCAATTCCACAATCCCCAACGCAGTAATCTGCGCAGCCAGCAGTGTTCTGGGGTAGCGTTCAGCTTGGTTGAGGGAAGCAATAGTCTAGCTCAATCCACAAGAACAATACACACTAGCAGCCCAGTCCGTTCTTCCTTGGGGAACAGTCCCCTTTCCAAAGTAGACTTCCTGTTGAGGGTCACCAACGCCGGTCTAGACGACGGGAAACGCAGCTACCGCCAATTGACAGAAACGCGGCAAATAATAGCCTCCTAACCTAAAGTGTCTTCAAATGTACTTGTGTAATATTGGAAAGAAGTTCGATCGCCCCCCTCGATGAGAAGCGAGACCCGGGTCAGGGGGCACGAGACAAGCAGAAACCATTGGCGGAACCAGCAAATTAGGAGACTCCAATACCAGACAGAGAAGGCATTCGGGCCATCGAGGACAAGATGTCCCGAGATTAAATGCCGTAGGGACCGGGATAATCGGCCGCCAGGCTGGGTTTTTTTTTTCGGAATCTCCCTTTGGGGAATCACCCTAAAGAATTGGCTTTTATCGCTCCGTTGGGACAAGTAAAAAGGGAAACACAGTAGAGATTTTTGAGGGGCAGCTCCCATGTCCTATCCTGAGATTCAGCTGCTCCAGTTCCTATGGCACCACTAGTGTAAAGCCCATACGGCCTATATCACTTCCGGATTGGATAATGACTGGATCTCCCAAAGCTCTTTCAATAATAGGATAGGTAGACCGTTCTGAAACCACATATGTCTGCCCTGGGTAGTTGTATAGACTCCATTATTGGGGGTCTGGAAACTTTTGAAGAACGAGGGATAGTCTGTTATGGGAAGGGTCACTACCAGGGTGCGCTATGGTAAAAAGAACGGAGCAGGACAGAGCTTTGCTGTGGTTGGATAACTGGGAGAGGTGTGCACTTCCTCTCGTTTTCGCTCTCATCTAACTAATCGGTAATGACAGGTGCACAAGCAAAGCATCATCAAAGCAACCCGATCCCTCCATGAATCGCTACACCCATCTCTGTGATTCCACACATGTCCAGGTTCCTCCGCCCCACTTCGGGGATAACAAAGGAAAGACATATCCCTAGGATCCTCTTCCAACCTTCAAACAAATCTGGGATGATTACAAACAATGAAACGCACCCCCATGACTTCCAGAAACAACTTTGTCATTCCAGCATCCTTCCCGTGCCTTCCATGACCAACCGCAGCTCACTACCGTATCTCTATCGATTCGAACAAAGTCAACTTTTATCCCAGCTTAACCAAGTGTAGTCGCTGGCAGAATTGATGGGGAGGATATCTACCACTTAAGGTAAAACTTCATCCCTGAGGACCTTTCTAGCCTTCAGAGCCTAACCTCAAGCCCGGCTCTAATCCGGGTGGTGGCAGGACAATTAAGACATAAGCCCGTCAAAATTGCCTGAGAAAGGTCCTAGACTCGAAGGATTTACTTTTATTTTATTTGTGGCTTTTCTACTGTTCCTCAAGGATTTCCGTAGCCGCGATAACCTCTAGAATTCAATCACCCTCCGAAGCGATCTAGCCACAAGCTGACAGCGGGACCACACCCACATGCCCGGGGAAGGGAAAGAACCCAATCCAACTTGCCGGTATCTCCACCACAGATTATCAAAAAAAAAAAATCCTCTGGCAGGGGAACCCGCGGAATGTGTTTCGGACTTTTGTGACTTGTCCACTTCTCCGGAAAGAATGGTAATAGCAATCCGCAGCCAATCGCAGGACACATGTTCAAGGCTCTTGAAACCTACTCGCCCTTGCTTGGTGAAGTATGACTGTGGTGATAGTCACCCAAGGCCACAAGACAGGATGGACCTCCTTGGTTCGAGTCAAAGCGCTCCCTTTCATGGTTGTTCGGCAACCAAGGGTGGGACCCGCGATTCAGGTGAGTATCGAGGGGGGGGGGGGGGGGGTCCAGCGAAGATGTCAAGCCAACAGACGAAGAACAGGGGTTCGACCTTGTTCGATGGGCTATCACTTCCTGCGAATATGAAAAGAAATCCTCGCTGATTGGAGCCGACTATGCCGCACACAGACTCGCTACGAAACGCACCTAGTCTTCCCGCCCTACTTCTTGCGGCTAGGCACCCCTTGCATTATTCCCTCCTGCGGGGGGTACAGGTGCAGTTTAGTTGTGGTACTTTTGTCGGGGCTCGCCTAAGATGTGAGTTGTGGATCAAGGTAAGTAGGGGACAGAGGGATACGCGGGGTACGAGTGGGAGAAGTGACTTGCCGCCATTTTACAGGAGGGATAAACGGGCTCCTTAAGCACACTATAGCTCTCCTGTATGCGTCGTACTGGGGCATATAGACGCCTCTTTGGAGTAAATTGCGGTAGGCCGAGCGATGATATCCACCGATGCCGGACGATATATAACGAGTGACATCCGATGATTTGAAGAAGTACGCCAGCCCCTACCCACTGAGAGCTGAGCGCAGCCCCGAGCTCCCAGGCGAGCCACACGGAGAATAGTTGTTCCATCATAGACATCAAGAATTCTATGGTGCATGCCGTCTAGACACAAGCACCAAGTGGGACGCAACGGGGGACGCAACAGGGGACACTTTACCCTTAAATTTTCTCAAATAACAAAGGTTTTAGGTTTAAATTTCTAGGGTTCTTGATACATTTTCTCTCACTATAACATAGATACATTTTCTCTCACTATAACATAACACTTCTTATTTTCATATTTAATTTATATAATATTATATCATTATTGTATATTGCCATTGAAAATATATTGAATATATAAGAGAAATTGAAATATAACTTAAGATTAAACTTATTGGAATATATACTCCAATTTTATAATAATAATATTAGACTACAAGTCGCAGCCGGCCTTCGGCCGGATGTGGGTCT